GCACTCATATACACACACACACACACAGTGCATTATATACACACACTCATACACACTGCACTCATACACACACACTGTATTCATACACAGAAATATAGATTACCGAAGAGAGCTGAAGGAGGAAAAGAAAAATCACCATTCCTCTATCAATCTCCCACGGCATACCCACAACAATGGGAATGACCCATAGGGCTAAGGAATCTAAGTAAAATTTAAAAACCTAATAGATCTTTATTAACTTGTACTAGAGATGTGAATAAAACGTGAAACACAAAATCAAACGTGCTGGTGATACTTAAAAAGGGAAGGACTAAATGCTGCCTAAACGAGATCTCCCAAACTATTCAAAATCCTAAGTACGCGATGGTGATGCAAAAGTTCCTTCATAAACGAATGCAGTCAAACTAGGAAATTATCTTATAAGAGGCATTCTGTCAGGACTGGATGTAAAAATAGAACACACGAGAACATAGGGACCTAGATCATATTTATAAATTGCTTAAATGGCGTATATATGAAAATACTCCAAAAAGTGTCTAAAGGGTGCCCAGTAAAGAGTAGCAGTATATAAATCTTCCCAATATTAAGGCCAATATAAGGGCATATCCTGGATCCAAAAGGTAAATGGAAGCCCCCAATCCTCTAGATGTATTACCAGGAAGAAAGAGTGTGAATTAACTAAGCGCTTAGAACTAGCTTGGTTGATTTAAATTTATTGAAACTCAGAAGACAAAGGGTTAAGTGTTTCCCTAAGATGAAATAGGAAAATAAGTAGTAGTTTCAAAGAACTTAAATAAATGTTAGTCCTAATTTCAAGAATTAGAATAATTATATTAACACAATTACTAAAGATTAAAAATCCCCAAATCCCATAGGTCTATCTAGGTTCCTGTTGAGAGCACCTAAGCTATCTTAGAAGCCAAGTCCCTATGAGATCAATTGTTGCTAGTGAATTATAGTAGTCCTGAGTCTAAGCTGGTAATAGCTAATATAATCGCTGCATATAGGGGAGAGACGAAGGCTGCATCTAGCCTAACCTAATAAAAGGAAACAGAACGTCTAGCTCGACGTGCGTTTCAACGCACTCCGGCGTCTTTATCAAGAGAATAACCGTGCCGGGTGCCCGCCCGGTCTTTTGAAGGGGAGAAGCCATGCCTCCATAGTGACGCGGCACACGGGCACGCCTCAATTCCTAACATCACTTCTACGGAGGCTGGCTGGATACATTTAGAGAAGTCAAAGCTTAAATGGCAAGATGGCAAAAGGAAACGTATAAGTAATGCGCTATCCCGGCATTGAAATGTAGTATCCATTTACTCCTTGGGGCTATTTAGGTGGGGAAACAACCCCAACTCTTAGTACAATGTATCAAAAGAAACCGTCCATCATTCTAAGGAATCTGCATAGTTACTAAATCTCTGTAATTGTTGTGCAAATAAACACATTGTTATAAGCTATGGATACAGTGTATTTTTGATATTGTACAATAACTCCAAACTGGATTTTAGACTCTAGAGAAAACACTAAAACAAACTTAAGAGTTATAGAAACATAGAAACATAGAATGTGACGGCAGATAAGAACCATTCGGCCCATCTAGTCTGCCCAATTTTCTAAATACTCAATCTCTCGAATGCTGTTTTGAATGATGATCATTTTTCTTTGCTTGAAAAAGGCTTGTCATTTTGTACCTACACCTCCTTTTAATAAATTCCATTGGGTCAAAGACCTTCATTTGTTTGCCCGAAAATTGGCACTCCATAAACACCATCAGACAATGAAAGAGAAAAAAGCAAGATCTCATGGAATGTCAATAAATGAGTGTAACGGATCGCCTGGCACCCCGACTGGGTACCTCCGTTAAAGGATGCTCCTAGCACTTCCTGAGGACTCCAAGCACTGCAGCAGACACCACAACCACCGAACCGGAGAAGCATTGGAATCCTCTCAAGCATATGAATGCTGTAGACAGTTGAATAGGAACCATACGAATAGGTTTACTCTCCTAGCAGTCAAACTGGAACAGCATACAATAAATCCTTCCCCCAATAATGAGACGACACTTCACTTTGAGGGTTAAAACAGGAACTCCCTGTACTGTCACATACAGTCTCTTTTATTCCCAATCCCCAAACATAGTACAGCCCACAGGGCGTTACAAAACAACCAATCAATCCGTACAATACACCCAGATACTCCCACACAAAATCCTCCCTTCTGCAGGTGATATGATTACTGAACACAATGGGTAATCTCATTATCACCGGCAGAGGAATACAGTTTTTACACAATATTTATAACTTCTAAAATATACATGTCACAAACATAAAACATACATTTTCATAATCAATCCATTCAGGGCAACAACATATTAAAAAATGGCACGAATCAGACCAGGGGTTCAAAAGTTAAGGGAAAGTCCTTTGTGACTAAATGAAGCATGGCTTTCTGGCCCAAACCAGTTTCAGAGTCTTCTATCCTGGAGAGTAATTCAATTATCTCCCAGGACAGACACAAGACTCCATTAAGCACATGGTTGCAAAGAGACACAAAACACTTTAAAATACATAAAGTAACCTTTTCACATAACACACAGACATTTCACATATCCCCAGATAGCTGGGATCTGAGCGCACAAAACTACTGAAGAGCGCTCAGATCCTATTCACACAGTTCAATTGCCATGGAGCCGAAGTCTTTAACTACACAAATGGGCTCCATGGCATAGCTATCTGGGTTAACACATTCTCATAAAGTCTGGTCCATAGTCCAAAGGCAAGAGGCGGGCAAGCAGCCCCCTCCAAGGACACGTGGCGAGGCCGGTTTCGCCACATTTCTCCCCTTTACCATCCAGACTAACAGGGTATCTGACCTCCTGCCGGTCAGTGCCCTGGTTAGTCCAGCAACCCACCCACGAAGCACAAACAGCAATACAGCCCACCCACAATAACTGGTTACTACACCTGGATAAATTAGCAACTTGTCCATGTCCAGGTGCCTCACCACGGCTGTGTGGGGGGCTGGTAGACTGCCTTGGTGGGTTGCTGAGTGGGCAGAGACCAGCGGTACTCTGCCCGGGTGCCAGCGCTACCACGGAAGTAGCCTGGTTGGAGCCTGGTTGTGGGAGGGGGAGACCTACTGTCTCCCCTCTGGATACACTGCTCTGTGGCTGGGGGACAGGACCAACCGTCCCTACCCCTGGTGCTGCAAGTGCAGAGACTACAGTCCCATCTGCATAGTTGTGGGGCTTAACATCTCCCCTTGGTGGGTTAGGCTGCCGCTGGAGAGAGGGTGTAACAAGCTCCTCTCTCTGAACTGTAGACTGCCGCTGGGGAGAGGGGGTAACCTGCTCCTCTCCCTGACACTCTCTTTGCTGGTGGAGAGGGGGACCAACTGTCTCCCCTTTCAATATTTTGTCCTGCGGCTGGGGTGCGAGACAGACGGTCTCTGCTTCCTGGGGTACACACTGCCGCTGGGGAGGAAGGCCGGCACCTTCAGCTCCCTGGGGTACACACTGCCGCTGGGGAGGAAGGACGGCACCTTCAGCTCCCTGGGGTACACACTGCCGCTGGGGAGGAAGGACGCCACCTTCTGCTCCCTGGGATACACACTGCAGCTGGGGAGGAAGGACGACCCCTTCGGCTCCCTGGGACTCACACTGCCGCTGGAGATCTGGGCCGACCGCCCAGCATCCCTGTAGGGCCGGTAGAGAGACCGCCGTCCCATCTCCACCTGCCATCTGTGGGTCTTCCCAGGACCAGTCTGTGAGGTCCCTCAACATTTGCGAGTAAGGACCACCTGCTTCCGCACCTGGCAACTCCGGCTGCTGCTGGGGATCTGGGCCGGTCCCATCTCCACCTGCCTGTTGTGGTTCCTCACAGGACCAGTCTATGAGGACCCCTACTTCGGGTTCCTGCGGCCGCCTCAGGGGGAGACGGCTAGCCTCCTCGGATGCAGCCTCTACTCGGCTGCTGTAACACTCCTTCCGCTGAGCATACTCTCTCTCTTTCGCCAGCCGGAATTCTCGGGCCAGCCTTGTGTTTCGCTCGGCCGTGACCTGGTTCCAGATCACCCGGCGTACCTCCATGGGTAAATCATCCCCATACTGGGCCACTCGCTGCCTCACCTCGGCAATCCAATCATCGCCAGAGCATTCCATACTTGTCTGCTCCAAGTCGCTGGATACCTCTACTCCCAGTGGCGCTGCACGTGTGCTAGCGTTGCCCTCAATTTGTAACTCCACGAATGGTGTCTCTGAGCTGCTTTACCTCGCACTAGGACGCCATCCCACCGCTTGCCACCAATGTAACGGATCACCTGGCACCCCGACTGGGTACCTCCGTTGAAGGATGCTCCTAGCGCTTCCAGAGGACTCCAAGCACTGCAGCAGACACCACAACCACTGAACCGGAGAAGCATTGGAATCCTCTCAAGCATATGAATGCTGTAGACAGTTGAATAGGAACCATACGAATAGGTTTACTCTCCTAGCAGTCAAACTGGAACAGCATACAATAAATCCTTCCCCCAATAATGAGACGACACTTCACTTTGAGGGTTAAAACAGGAACTCCCTGTACTGTCACATACAGTCTCTTTTATTCCCAATCCACAAACATAGTACAGCCCACAGGGCGTTACAAAACAACCAATCAATCCGTACAATACACCCCGACACTCCCACACAAAATCCTCCCCTCTGCAGGTGATATGATTACTGAACACAATGGGTAATCTCATTATCACCGGCAGAGGAATACAGTTTTTACACAATATTTATAACTTCTAAAATATACATGTCACAAACATAAAACATGCATTTTCATAATCAATCTATTCAGGGGAACAACATATTAAAAAATGGCACGAATCAGACCAGGGGTTCAAAAGTTAAGGGAAAGTCCTTTGTGACTAAATGAAGCATGGCTTTCTGGCCCAAACCAGTTTCAGAGTCTTCTATCGGAGAGTAATTCAATTATCTCCCAGGATAGACACAAAAGAACTCATTAAAGGACCACTATAGTGCCGGGAAAACATACTCGTTTTCCTGGCACTATAGTGCCCTGAGGGTGCCCCCACCCTCAGGGACCCCCTCCCGCCCGGCTCTGGAAGGGGGAAAGGGGTAAAAACTTACCTTTTTCCAGCGCTGGGCGGAGAGCTCTCCTCCTCCTCTCCGCCTCCGTTAAGCCCCGCCGGCTGAATGCGCACGCGCGGCAAGAACTGCGCGCGCATTCAGCCGGTCGCATAGGAAAGCATTTTACAATGCTTTCCTATGGACGCTTGCGTGCTCTCACTGTGAAAATCACAGTGAGAAGCACGCAAGCGCCTCTAGTGGCTGTCAATGAGACAGCCACTAGAGGATTAGGGGGAAGGCTTAACCCATTCATAATTATAGCAGTTTCTCTGAAACTGCTATAATTATAAAAAAAAATGGGTTAACCCTAGAAGGACCTGGCATCCAGACCACTTCATTAAGCTGAAGTGGTCTGGGTGCCTAAATCGCTTAAGCACATAGTTTACCAAAGACACAAAACACTTTAAAATACATAAAGTCACATTTTACACATAACACACAGACATTTCACATATCCCCAGATAGCTGGGATCTGAGTGCACATTATTAGATGAATGGCACTCAGATCACACAAATAAGCCTTTCTGCAGGGGAAATAAACAGTTTAACCTGCAGGGCCATAGTCCAAAGGGAGCAGGCGAGCAGCCAGGCTTCTCCAGTTCACAGTGGCGAGGTTGGTTTCGCCACACTTCTCCCCTTTACCAACTAGACTAACAGGGTATCTGACCTCCTGCCGGTCAGTGCCCTGGTTAGTCCAGCAACCCACCCACAAAACAGAAACAGCGGTACAGCCCACCCACAATAACTGGTTACTACACCTGGGTAGAGGAGAACTTTGTCCATGTCCAGGTGCCTCACCACGACTGTGTGGGCAACTGTTAGGCTGCCTTGGTGGGTTGCTGAGTGGGCAGAGACCAGCGGTACTCTGCCCTGATGCCAGTGCTACCACGGAAGTAGCCTGGTGGGAGCCTGGTTGTGGGAGGGAGAGACCGACTGTCTCCCCTCTGGATACACCGCTCTGTGGCTGGGGAACAGGACCGACTGTCCCTACTCCTTGTGCTGTAAGTGCAGAGACTACGGTCCCATCTGCACTGTTGGGGGGTGTAACATCTCCCCTTGCTGGGTTAGGCTGCCGCTGGAGAGAGGGTGTAACAAGCTCCTCTCTCTGAACTGTAAACTGCCGCTGGGGAGAAGGGGTATCAGGCTCCTCTCCCTGACACTCTCTCTGCTGGTGGAGAGGGGGACCAGCTGTCTCCCCTTTCATTATTTTGTCCTGTGGTTGGGGTGCGAGACTGACGGTCTCTGCTCCCTGCAGGACACTCTGCCGCTGGGGAGGAAGGACTGCACCTTCAGCTCCCAGTAACACACACTGCCCCTGGGGAGCAAGGACTGCACCTTCAGCTCCCTGGGGTACACACTGCCGCTGGGGAGGAAGGACTGCACCTTCAGCTCCCTGTAACACACACTGCCGCTGGGGAGCAAGGACGGCACCTTCAGCTCCCTGTAACTCACACTGCCGCTGGGCAGAGAGACCAATTGGCCACAGCCCCAATCTCCGCAATCGGCACTCACATTCCCATGCCGCTCGATTCTCCGCATCCAACTTGCGCACGGTTGCCATAACTGCCTCTGTTGAAGGATTCGGGACATATCTGGTTAACCGTCTCATGACCTCATCCCGGTATGCATCGCCCTCAAAGCGATAGGTCATGTTTGCTGTGACCAGAGGCGCTGTACGAATACTAGCGTTGCCCTCAAATTGTAACTCCAAACGAACTGTGTCTCTGAGCTGCTTTACCTCGCACTAGGACGCCATCCCACCGCTTGCCACCAATGTAACGGATCGCCTGGCACCCCGACTGGGTACCTCCGTTGAAGGATGCTCCTAGCGCTTCCTGAGGATTCCAAGCACTGCAGCAGACACCACAACCACCGAACCGGAGAAGCAAATGAATCCTCTCAAGCATATGAATGCTGTAGACAGTTGAATAGGAACCATACGAATAGGTTTACTCTCCTAGCAGTCAAACTGGAACAGCATACAATAAATCCTTCCCCCAATAATGAGACGACACTTCACTTTGAGGGTTAAAACAGGAACTTCCTGTACTCTCACATACAGTCTCTTTTATTCCCAATCCACAAACATAGTACAGCCCACAGGGCGTTACAAAACAACCAATCACCTCACAGTTACATCCCACATATTCCCTCCCCTTATCCTGAGAGGAAACTCAATTATATATACAGTTAAAACATACTTTCTACCCAACTTTCATAACTCCAAAACCATACATCACATTCACATAAAATTACATATTCACAATCAATCCATTCAGGGAACAACATATTCAAAAATGGCACAAATCAGACAAGGGGTTCAAAAGTTAGTAAAAAGTCCTTTGTGACTAAATGAAGCATGGCTTTCTGGCCCAAACCAGTTTCAGAGTCTTCTATCCTGGAGATAAGTAATTCCATTATCTCCCAGGATAGACACAAGACTCCATTAAGCACATGGTTGCAAAAAGACACAAAACACTTTAAAATACATAAAGTCACATTTACACATAACACACAGACATTTCACATATCCCCAGATAGCTGGGATCTGAGTGCACATTATTAGATGAATGGCACTTAGATCACCCAAATAAGCCTTTCTGCAGGGGAAATAAACGGTTTAACCTGCAGGGCCATAGTCCAAAGGGAGCAGGCGAGCAACCAGGCTTCTCCAGTTCACAGTGGCGAGGTTGGTTTCGCCACAGACATCATTAGAAGTGGTGGCCTAATCCAATCACAGTGCTTCCCTATAGGATTGGCTGAGACTGACAAAGAGGCAGATCAGGGGCAGAGCCAGCATGATTCAAACACAGCCCTGGCCAATCAGCATCTCCTCATAGAGATGAATTGAATCAATGAATCTCTGAGGAAAGTTCAGTGTCTGCATGCAGCGGGAGGAGATACTGAATGTTTAGATGCATTTTAGGCAGCCTTGACCCAAGAAGGATCTCTAACAGCCATCTATTGGCCTGTGAAATTATCACTAGGCTTAATGTAAAGACTGCATTTTCTCTGAAAAGACAGTGTTTACAGCAAAAAGCCTGACGGTAATGATTCTACTCACCAGAACAAATTCAATAAGCTGTAGTTGTTCTGGTGACTCTAGTGTCCTTTTAACTATATTCATTGTCAGCCAGTCCACACAAGTTTTGTTACCATACATCCCTCTTAAGTTTCCATTCTTAAGTAAGAGTATGTGAAAAGTAGTTAGGGTTGCCACCTTTCTTGGAAAAACATACCGGCCTTACTAATTTGCATAATTAAATATGTATGGGTGACATCGCATGAGTGACATAAGAGAAAATGCTGTAAAATCACCACAAAACGACTTAGTTTGGTTTTGCTGTCTACAGGGAGTGCAGAATTATTAGGCAAGTTGTATTTTTGAGGATTAATTTTATTATTGAACAACAACCATGTTCTCAATGAACCCAAAACTCATTAATATCAAAAGCTGAATATTTTTAAAGTAGTTTTGTAAAGTTTGTTTTTAGTTATAGCTATGTGGATATCTAGTGTGTAGGTGACTAGTTACTGTGCATAATTATTAGGCAACTTAACAAAAACAAATATATACCCATTTCAATTATTTATTATTACCAGTGAAACCAATATAACATCTCAACATTCACAAATATACATTTCTGATATTCAAAAACAAAACAAAACAAATCAGTGACCAAGGCCATACCTTCTTTGCAAGGACACTAAAAAGTTCACATCCATGATTCTGTCAGTGTTTTGATCTGTTCACCATCAAATACTTCATGCAGCAGCAACCATAGCCTCCCAGACACGTTCAGAGAGGTGTACTGTTTTCCCTCCTTGTAAATCTCATAGTTACTCTGATGATGGACCACAGGTTCTCAAATGGGGTTCAGATCAGGTGAAATGTAAGTGATGCCATGTCATTAGATTTTCTTTTATACCCTTTCTTGCCAGCCACGCTGTGGAGTACTTGGACGCGTGTGATGGAGCATTGTCCTGCATGAAAATTTATGTTTTTCTTGAAGGATACAGACTTCTTCCTGTACCACTGCTTGAAGAAGGTGTCTTCCAGGAACTGGCAGTAGGACTGGGAGTTGAGCTTGACTCCATCCTCAACCCGAAAAGGCCCACAAGCTCATCTTTGATGATACCAGCCCAAACCAGTACTCCACCTCCACCTTGCTGGCGTCTGAGTCGGACTGGAGCTCTCTGCCCTTTACCAAACCAGCCACGGGCCCATCCATCTGGCCCATCAAGACTCACTCTCATTTCATCAGGCCATAAAACCTTAGAAAAATCAGTCTTGAGATATTTCTTGGCCCAGTCTTGACGTTTCAGCTTGTGCGTCTTGTTCAGTGGTGGTCGTCTTTCAGCCTTTCTTACCTTGGCCATGTCTCTGAGTATTGCACACCTTGTGCTTTTAAGCACTCCAGTGATGTTGCAGCTCTGAAATATGGCCAAACTGGTGGCAAGTGGCATCGTGGCAGCTGCACGCTTGACTTTTCTCAGTTCATGGGCAGTTATTTTGCGCCTTGGTTTTCCCACACGCTTCTTGCGACCCCGTTGACTATTTTGAATGAAACGCTTGATTGTTCGATGCTGCATCCCTCTGCAAGATATCTCACTATTTTTGACTTTTCTGAGCCTGTCAAGTCCTTCTTTTGACCCATTTTGCCAAAGGAAAGGAAGTTGCCTAATAATTATGCACACCTGATATAGGGTGTTGATGTCATTAGACCACACCCCTTCTCATTACAGAGATGCACATCACCTAATATTCTTAATTGGTAGTAGGCTTTCGAGCCTATACAGCTTGGAGTAAGACAACATGCATAAAGAGGATGATGTGGTCAAAATACTCATTTGCCTAATAATTCTGCACTCCCTGTATATCTCTCTCAATAAAGAAAAATAGATTAAGAGTCATGTTTTACACTGTAGAAAACTATCTTGAAGCAAATCTGAAACATCTATTTACTGGTACAAGCATATCATTAAACCCCTCAAATACATGCTAACTGGGGAACTGTGTGTGCTAGACAGCAGCCTCCAGAAATGTAAGAGTTCTGTGACGTAGAAAAGAGCACAACACAGCTGCAGCTTAATATGTTGTTGTTAGCCATACATATAAGTCAGCATATTATTAACATTTAAAAAACAAAAAGGAACATTCAAGCTAGTTTCACAAGTATGAATGTCTGTGTCTACCTTTCATTATCCATTCATGGTTTCTTTTTCTTTTCGCTTTCGTTCATAAAACTTGTATAAAGGTCATTTTAATGTATTGTAATATCACAGGCTGGCACACCAGACTGGTAAATATACAACTGTAAAATTTATCACACAACAAAACCAAAACATCATAGCATGTTTAACATACATGTGGGAGAAAGATAAATCAATATTTGCCAAAGGTCTATCAAAATGTTAATGTTTGCAAAACTTACTCAAAAATGTATTAAAAGTTTTTAAAATAATAATAAAAACCAGCTCTATTATTTTTGAAGTATGGATTTCTTAATGCATATAAGGAATGGATGGGGGAAAAAAAAAATGCATGTCTTGTGGCTATACAAAACATGCACTTCATAAAGTGAACACTAGATGGTGCTGGATCATATGACTTTCTCCAACCTCAGATTTTATTAAGACACAGAGGCTCCTATTGTTCCCTTGACAATTTCCTCTTTCTTTGCTGCTCCCTCAGTTAAGTACACTGACCCCATAGCTCTTAACCGTGGGATTGTTTTACTATTATTATTGCTATTATTACTTTACAATTATTATTCCAGTATTATTACACTGATTACGTTTATTTAATATTGTTGTTTCTTTCACTCACATCGTTTTAACTCTTTAATTGCTTTAGTAGCTACTGCATATAAACTGCTCTTATATCCTGTATTTTGCTTTGATTGGACTTCCTCCCGGTTCCCTACATTTCTTTGTGGGGCACCGGGAGGAGAACTTATTATTGTTAATCCTTCTCTCGTTATATGTGCTTTTTACTTGCCTCGCGGCATATACGCACCCTTTTTCAACTGATGTGTAACGGTCTCCTGCTCCTAGATTCGAGCAGTAGTGCCGTTAGTCAAGTCTGCCGTTCAGTAGTTTGCTATCATTCACCAGTTTTTCCACTCTGTCTATGGCGTGCGTTCGCATATAATTTACAGCTCGCGTGGTTTTTAGACAAACTGTGCAGTCATTCGCACAGTTTGTCTCCATGCCGTTAGTGCCTTTTTGGCGTTCGTGAGTTTACTCAGCAGTCATATTGCTTTTCATGCAAACGGGCTGTTCACGGCATTTTGCATGGTTTCTCCTATAAGCCTGCCCCTTCCTGTTTCCCCTTGTTGGTATTTAGTGTTTTGGTGAACGGACGGCTTTCTATCACTCTCTGTGCTTCTATTTAACTGTAAATGATTTTTTTTCCCTTAACAGAATATTTTTTCCCTATTCTGGGTTACTAAACCCTATAGCTAGGTATACTCTACTATATTGCAAGTTACAATAATTCCACCCATTATGCAGTCTGACAAGGACCAAATTTTGGCTTCCAGGCTATAGGGCTTTTATTTGGAGATTCCTTTGTAAAGGAATTAGAGTCTTTTGTACATACCTTTACAGCCCTAGATAAGGCGCAGAATAACATGCGCAAGATATTGTGCCAAAAGGTCTTTGCCGGGGCCGGAAGAGGTAGGAGCTGTCTGCCCGGCCGTATCCAGAGAGGTTCATACAGACAGAACTGAGGTTCCTATACTGGAAGAGCTGGATTCCAAGAACAGAGGGCCACACCAGCTTTCTTCCTCCAAAGAGGCAGACCCTGGGTCGCTAGGGGCATCCGAGGAGCTCCTTCTGGACGACGATCTTATGGTAAGGGTCTACTATTCCCCTTCTTCTCTTCAGGTTGTGGGGGGCAGACTCAGACATTTTTCCCATGTGTGGTCACATAGGACTTTAGATGCTTGGGTCCTGTAAGTTGTAACAGGGTACTGCATAGATTTTGTGTCACATCTCCTTATCCAGAGAGATTGTTTTTTCCCCAACACGATACTATCCTCGTGTCCAAGGAAATCCACGATCTGATGCGCAAACAAGCCATCACAGAGATCCCATTCAATACTCCGGGGTACGTCAGCAACCTCTTCCTGGTACCCAAGAACGAGGCCAGTCATAAATTTGAAACAACTGAACGCCTATGTGTCCTACCACCATTTCAAAATGGAAGGCAAACACTGCCTGCTCGACCTTTTACAACACAAAGATTGGATGGCCAAGTTAGACCTACAGGACGCGTACTTCATGATACCTAAATCAGACAGATACCAAGATTTTCTCCAATTCACGTGGAAAGGAAGGAAATGGAGGTTCACATGCTTCCCGTTCGGACTATCATCAGCCCCATGGTGTTTCACAAAAGTTATGAAACCAGTGATTGCCCTGCTTCGAAGTCGAGGTGTTCGGCTTATCATCTATCTAGATATCCTCCTTCTAGCCCAGTCTACTGACCTTCTCCACACACATCTCACATGGACTCTAACGCTGTTGCAAAACCTAGGTTTCCTTATAAACTGGGAAAAATCTATCCTGACACCGGCTCAGAACATCGAATTCCTAGGACTAGTGAAAAAGAAATCAGACGCACGTTGGCTATTCCCCAATTCTCTCTCAAACACCTGGCACGAGTCACCGGACTCCTGGCGGTTTCCATTCAGGCCATATTCCCAAGCCTGCTCCATTACCGAGCTCTACAACGACTTCAAGCCTCTCATCTCAGAGGCGGAGCATCATACAGGGATATAACAACGCTAGATGAAGAAGCGGAAGACGAACTTCGCTGGTGGCTCCTCCACATGGAGGCATGGAATGGACGCACTATCTTCGGAACAACCCCAGAACTGATCATAGAATCAGATGCGAGCTTACACGGCTGGGTGCGCGTTGTGGAGATACCTACACGGGAGGCAGATGGTCGGACCTCGAAATGACACTGCATATCAACTGCTTAGAGCTTTTAGCCGGGTCTTTTGCAGTACGCAGCCTATCCCCGACTCATTCACAATGCACAATTCTATTGAAGATGGACTACGTGTCTGCAGTCAGATACATCAACCATCTGGGGGGCACGAAAACCAAAGTGCTAGCAAACATGGCACGCGACTTCTGGCAGTTCTGCCTTATGCACAATATCTCGGTGACAGCGGAATATATTCCCGGACTTTCCAACACCACTGCAGACTGGTACTCCAGACATCTGAGGGACTTCAGCGACTGGCCTGGACCCTTTGACATTCAAGAACATCACAGATACCTGGGGTCCTCTGGCCTTCTCAGGCTTATGGGGTGGCTGATTTCAAGGGATCTCGGTCAATCGAAGGCATTCCGCAATCAACTCTCAGACTTCTCGACAAAATGCACTAATTATAAAAACAGAACATAGTAATATGATGGCTTTGATCCAGAAAACGATAAATATAATTGAATAATGTAGCAAATCAACATAATAATAAATCAGAAGGGATCAAAACTTTCAAGTCCTGATATACATTCCAGGCCCAAAAGTTATTCACCATTGCAAATCTATTCTTTCAAATTGATCTCTGGGAATAGAAATTGTATCAGCATATGGCTGCCTCCCTGCCCCCAAATGACTCACAAAGCATCCTAAAATTTCTAGTATGTTCAAAACACACATGAACAAGTGCCAAAACACACATGAACAAGTGAAAAATCAAAAATATAAATAGTGTGCTGTGCCAAACAATTGAAAAAATTGATAACTGAGATTTCACCACAAACCAAAACTAATAACGCACAGCCAATGTACATACAAAAAAATATACTATAAACCTTCACTGTTCGAACAACCTACTTTTCCTGTACATGAAATACATCCTTCCTTTACTTCTTAATCTCTCAACACCCTCTGTTCCTGTGCGTCCAGCTCATCTTTTGGCAAATGCATGTCTGTTAGTCCACCTACTGTACAGCGCTATGGAATTTGTTGGTGCTTATAAATAATATACACACTTAAACCTTCTTGATGGCAAGCATACTAAGAGTGAAAGAATGACATACAAAAACATGGTGCAATCGAAAAAGTATAATGAACGCGGATTTCCACATAAATGTCACTCCCACACTCTCATAAGTCTAAGTATATTGGCATTAAAAGATCCCTCCTGGGTATTTCATAAATTCCTCCAAATAAAGGGAAACATTGCAAATCAGGAAAAAGTATAACATTTATCACACAATATAATCTATTACATGTGTAAGGGATTTTATTGTTTAAAGTAAATAATAGCATATTTTTAATGTACATTAAAGAAACACTATAGGGTCAGGAACACAAACATGTATTCCTGACCCTATAGTGGTAAAACCACCATTTAGCCCCCCTGGTCCTCTATTTCCTCCCTAAATATAGTAAAATCTTACTTGTATTCAAGTCTGCAGCTGCTGGATCTGCTCCGGTTTGTTGACATCAGCAGAAGTGGTGGTCTGAGCCAATCACAATGTTTTCCCATAGGATTGGCAGAGACTGTCAAGGAGGCAGCACAAGCCAAACACAGCCCTGGCCAATCAGCATCTCCTCATAGAGATGAATTGAATCAATGCATCTCTATGAGGAAACTTCAGTGTCTGCATGCAGAGGGCAGGGATTCAGTGTGCAGCACTGCCCCAGGAAGCACATCTAGCAGCCATCGGAGGAGTGGCCAGTGGCGTTATCACTAGGCTGTAATGTGAACACTGCATTTTCTCTGAAAAGACAGAGTTTACATTACAGAAAAGACAAAAAGCCTGAAGTGAATGATTCTACTTACAAGAACAAATTCAATAAGCTGTAGTTGCTCTGGTGAATATAGTGTCCATTTAAGTGTGCGCTATTTATGTTTTGTTTGGGGTTAGGAGCTGAACTGTGTCTTGAGTAGCAACCTGTAGACGCCATACTATTTGTAGCCTTTACAAAAATGTGTAAAAAGGATACGGGAGTTGGAAAAATAAAAATCACTCTTTAGCTATACTTTCACAAACAATGTATAGATACAATTGTCATTAGTTGACTAAATGTTTACATGCACATTTACATGTCTGAAATGAGAGAGGAGCCTACCATTACTTCTCAATCCCATAAAACGTTAGCTTGTTTCAGAGGATTGGAGGTAGCAGGTAAGTTACAGGGTTATAAACTGATAATACAATGGTTACACCCCACTTTACAAAGCAGCAGAAAAACTGCTGCTTTCATACAGCATTGAAAGCACTGGGGAGTTCATACACCGGGCTGAATTTCCACTCGCCAATGGCAATTTTGAGCCCAAATCCTATGTTTTTTGAAGAATGAATGAATAGAACATCTTTGCCCATCATAACACTTGCCTGCAAATGTATTTGCTTGATTTAGTAGTTCTGTGCAAGCGTGCATATCAGCAAATGCCCGGATACCTAAACAGTTGGATGGGTGAAGCTGGGATTCCAGGAATTCACAGCAAGTCTTCTTCACATCTTGGAGCTGCAGAAGGCCCGCTGCTGGCAGAAGGACCTGCAAGGTACATGGAGAACAAATACTTTTTGGACTTACAGAAAAAAAAAAAACACTCAATTTAAGAACAAAATGATTTAGTTAATATATAATATAATCATACAATTAAAGAAGACAACAAAGATATATACATATACATACACATACACAAACCAAGTACAATGAACAGCTTGGCAAGCCACGTTGCCGTTGTTGGGGGTTGAGTGCTTTTCTACGCGCCAGCAATTGCCGACTTCGCAACCATCAGAAGGCAATATATTAAGGTAGATTTGTATTTGTGTGGCAGAATGAAATTTAGTTAATTTTTTAATTAAATACCCTCATGCCATATGATTTAAACTCAGATTTTGAAATGCATAATTTTTAATATAATTTTTAAAAATAATTATTTTTGTTATTTTCTTCTTTTTATAAAAAGAGTAACCATTGTTCATGTATGGGTTTTTCTTTTTTAATAGTATTTTTTTTACATTGTCCATCTGTTCTTTTATAATTTTTAATCTTATGTATTAATCTGCTCTTCTTATCTTTATTGTATATTCATTTACAAAGAGTCAATTATACAGACTCATCCTGTGGACTAGTATTGATATAAACAACGGACTGCAGGAACGCATGGATGGAATACACAAAGTCACACATTGTGCCTTTGCTTTTATTTTAGCATTTCTATTTATTATATATTAATAAAACTATTTTAATCATTTGATTTGGTTTCTGCTATCTTTCTGGCCTTAAAAAGTGTTGTGTGAACTTTACCCACACAATCAGTCCAGGAAAAGGCCTCGATGAATGCTTCCTTCTGAAGAAACTAGAAACAGCAGCATTAAATCCTGCCTTTCCCACACACCCTACTTTAAATATGGTTTAGTAAGCTCTGTTTATAGATTTCCTTGCAGCTTTATAATTATAATGGCATTCCCAAAATATTTTCCCAGCTGCTATTATGTCAAAAATACCTATAGGTACACTAGGAGTATACTAATGAGTCATGGTTCACCAAGAATGTACAGGTTTGACATTTATAATGAAAGAGGAACTCCCTGTATGTCAAGCCTTAGCAGCAAACCAAACCAGATCCCCCAGATATACTGCAAGATTAGCTAACAAGCTATAGTGCTCTATATTGACACATTTAAGACTGTAATTCAATTCTATAATTTATTTTTTAAATGATAAAAAGATATGCTATATAAGATGTGTTTATCAAAATTCACTATATAAAGCAACAAGCTTTCTACTGCAGAAAGCCAACAATTAAAAGACAAGTCACAGTAGGACAAGTAAGGATAAAACAATAGGGATATCACCATAAATAAAAATAAAAAAAAAAGGGCACTGCTTCTAATCTTAAGGAATACAAATGTATGGTAAGTAACATTTTTGTCTTTTGCCCCCAGACTAGAGGCAGTGCAACAATAGGGATAAACAAGCAATCCTTAAGAGCAGGATACACTTCACAACAGCTTCAAGAACCTTGTGCCCCAAAACAGGGTCTTCAGAGGCAAGCATGTCTAACCTGTAATGTTTTGCAAAGGTGTGGGTAGATGCCCACGTGGCTGCTTTGCATATCTGAGCAGGGGTAGAGAAAGCATTTGAAGCCCAAGAGGTTGACACAGCTCTGGTGGAATGAGCTTTAATATGAAGTGAATGAGACCAAAAAGACTAAACGTAAGCTAGTGACATAGCCATTAATCCTCTATTGAGACCCTGGTAGAGGACACAAATGTTCAGAGCATTTGAATTCTTAGCCCTTTCTAAATCACAGAGAATTGTTCTTTTAACAGCTAAACAATGGAATTTATTTTCTCTCATTCTGAGGGTTCTGACAAAAGGTAGACAAGAAGATTTCTTGATTAATTTTGTTCACAGAGGTTATCTTCAGAAGCAAGCGTGTAGCTTTAACACCACCTTATCCAGATGAAACCTCATCCAGATGGAACATAAGATAAGCAAGATGAGCAGATAGAGTTTGAATTTTCCTCAGAAGCTTAGCTGATGTAATCGCAATTACAACAAATATCATCTTCCAGGTTAAAACTTTTAATTGACATTACTGTAAAACGTTCGAACGTTTGAGGTTTGCAGAGAGCGTACAGCACTAGATTTAGATTCAAATGTGAGGTAAGTTCCTGAATAGTGGGAAGCAAGTTTAAACTGCTCTGAAGAATCTGGCCACCAAAGGATCCAAAGCCAACACTCTGACTGAATACAAATAGCAGAGACTTGGACTTTTCAAGAAGCTGGACGTTAACATTTTGTAAATTTTAGTTGTTAAACCTCAGGATGTATGAAATAGGAGCTGTAACTGGATTAACTTTAATAGCCAAGAACCAGGTGTGGAAAAAAAAAAAAAAAAAAAACTTCCACATTCAGACATATATTTTACCAGTTGATTATTTCTTGGCTGAAACCAGAATATCTATGACCTCAGGACTTAAGACCTTATAATTTGCCATTCAGATATAATGCTGTGAGCTTGAAGGTTTTCAGGCTCTGTAGTTACACTAATCCTTATGCCAAGATGTGTTTTGACAAGGTAACCTGTTTGATAGGTTCAGGAGGAGAGAAAAACAACTTCTCCTGAGTCAAAAGGGTATCATTGCTATAACTTTGCCTTGTCGTGGACTATCTTCTGTAGAACTCTTAGAATCAAAAAGAATTGGTGGAAAAAGACATGCCAGATGAAAATCCCAAGAAATCGATAAGATATCTGAATTCTGAACCATTGATTGAGGAAAATTTCTTGACTTAATTGTCTGTTATTGAAGTCTATTTCTGGTTCACCAAATAGATGAACTACTTCCATAAAAAGTCTGATGTATGTATGAGTGACCAATTTCCCTTTTTCAGAGTATTCCTGCTTAGAGTAACTGCCAGGATGTGATAATTCCCTTTGGTGTGCACTGATGTCAAAGACTAAATATTGCAACTCTGCACAGTTTCTCCAGAGAAGAGTTAATCCATTGTAGAGGCATTGTCTGAGTGAATCTGAACATGTTGATGTAGGAGGTGGTGTTTGAAACAAGAGAGCCATCCAGCCTGCTTTCAGTTCTCTTAAAGGGACACTGTAGGCACTGTATCTGCCTCATCTCATTAAACTGGTTAGAGTGTCTGGAGTCCTCTGGTACCATCATTTCTTTCAGCATTGAACAGTTTTTAAACTTTTAATGTTTTAATGCTAAACAAGAGTCCCGGGCAATCCATCCCCTCTGTGCTGCTTTGGCAAATAAGAAAGTATTAGCCTGAGCAGCAAAAGGCAGTTGTGATTGGCTGAGAGTGTCAGCTGACTGCTTTTAACCTGTCAGAGCTCCAACTGATGGCATGAATGGTAACAAGGAAGTGTGTAATCTCTGCCTTAGCTACACATACTGAAGGGGCCAGACTGTGGGTGGCCAGGGACTCTTATTTTGTGGCATACTGCACAAACATGGTGCAACACTGAATGGAGGGACAGTGCCAAAGCACTCCAGGCACTAAAACCAATTCAAAGAGATGAAATGCTTATAGTGACTACAGTGTCCCTTTAAGTTTGAGGATCAGCCAACAGCTAAAAAGTCTGTAGTAACAGGGATGTTTTCTCTTAACCTGGATGAAAGGCCTTCCGAAAGGAACTTTGAATATACCCACTAGAACTTTTGTGAATACTCCTAGAGCTGAAGAAAGACCAAATGGAAGTGTCATTAGCTAGTAAAAGACAAGCTAGCCTTTTAGTGAAATATGAAATAAAAAACAAACAAATCTGTTTTCCCTTGCAATTGGAATATGCAGATAGGCATATTTTACATTTAAGAAAAAAAAAAAGAAACTCAAGCAGTCCGTTTCTATGGTGATATGCGTGGCTGGACCAGGTTTTGATATTCTAGATGGATATTTTCTGAAACGATAGGAGATTGAACTGTGGACAACAGAACACACTATGAGGAGGACTGTTGAATTCGATCTATACTCTTTAACAGAGAAAGGACCCATTTGTCTGTTATATTGTGCCATTTTCCCCACAAACTTGCCTTTGTAATCAAATGGTTGTCTTTGATAGCTGGATGAACTGGTCCTGCAAAATGATTATCTGCAAGTGGATCTATTTTTATTGAAGAATCTCCAATGATCCTTTTTCTCTTTTTGAAGTATCCCCCCCCCCTCGTTCAAATGGCATATCACATAAGGCATGCTTGGATGCAGAGTCCACAGACAGCCTTTCTTGCTACTGTAAAAAGTCCCAGGTATTGGTCCGCCAGTTTAAATACTTCTGACAGAGTCTGCCCAAGAAATCAAACAAAAAAAAAAACAAACAAAAAAAATTTCCATGAAAATTTCTAGTTTTGATTTACCTATACATTTACTTTTTCCAGTAAATCCAACCAAGCGTGCTGTGTCATGGATACATGATAATTACTGTCAAGTTGTCCATGGCAACCTGCAACCACTTGAGTTGCCAATAGGCAGAGTGCTCTTTTTGCCCAGCTGTGGAATAGGCACATCGACTTTCAGAAGATCTAATTTCTTATTGCCTTCTTCCTGAATGGAAAACAGTTTAAAATTGTTTGTTAAGAAAAAGCCTTCTTGGACGAAATCTCCCCTCTCGAAGCACAAGATCTTTATGCTTAGGGTGAAATGAAATGTTTTTTGCATACACATTATATTTTAACTAGGCATTTTCCAAATTTTCAACTTCAAGAGACTAGTTAGCAATGAAGAGGACTCCAGAGTCGAAAGGCGTATGCTACTCGTATTGTGACTTTGGGACTATATATCATTTTAGATATTTATTTTGTTCTATTCTTTATGTTCTTTGCTGTGTTTTATTTTTTGTCCAATATACACTGCTTAATTGGTCCCTTTTTTCTTTTTTTTGAATGTGACTACAATAAAAGTTTTTTTATGACTGGAAGAGTAGGATCAACGGTTAGAATATCTAACTAGAGAAAGTGTAGAGGCGGCAGCTAACCCCAAAAAGTAAGGATCCCTCTTATTCTACTGATGGAGATAAAACACAGAAAAAGAAAAAAAGCCATGGATAGCACCACAATAAGGATAAATACAATGGAATATACATTAAATAATCCATAGTAGGGAAATAAAAATATAAAATAAAGTCCAAGTGGAGCAACAGTCCAAATAGTAGAAGGTCCAAGATAGTGGTGTGGAAAATGCACTTGCCAGGAGTACTTTTAAGCATAAATGTCTGCGGAATTCCACATTGGAGGTACCAGGATAGGATCAGCAGTAGAATCCGTATGAAACGACAGAAAAGGAATAATAGGGTAGTATGGTCTTGCAGGGGACAACTAAAAGGAATAAGATATAGTCCTACTCATGTTTTATGGAGCTATGATTAGCTCCATAAAAACTAGAAACAATCTTAATCCCAGTGTAAATCCTTAACCAAAACCTAATTCTAAAACAAACCATAATCTCAAATCTAGTAAACAATCCTAACCCATTCCCCAATTCTATACCTAACCCTAATTATAACCTTAATACTAATCTCAATCCCAATCCTAAAATTAATCCTTAACCCATCTGAAATTTAAACCTAATCTTAATCCATATTCTTAATCTCTAATTTAATACTGGGCCCAAAGGTTTCCATCTGCTAATATCAGTAGCTAAAATCTAAGATAAAACAGAGTGGTATGTTGCTTGCTATCCTTTTCATTGAATAAATTATGCCAATGCATTTAAATCGGTGCTGAGCAACGAACAAAGCCCAGCACTGAGCAAAATGCCATTGGCGCACAGAGGGTCTATCCAGACCATGGTGGTCTTCCAATCATTACCTACAGTGAGAGAATCACTGTGACTGAGCTTAAAATGGCTAACTGATGCGTTTGCTATAGTTTAAAAGGGCTATGTAGTTATGACTTTCAGCACTGCATGTAGCATCTGAGCCACAAAAACCGCCCCAACTGACAGAGGGGAGCACCAGGTATCTAATGATACCTAAGTTTCATGGTGTGAGCAGGGATTTAACACTGCTCACACCACAATCTAGTTACAGGCATGACTTCCAGCGTTGCAAATAGCTTATAAAAAAGTCTGGCCCTGGCTGATTGGTACCTGGGACTCCCAGGTGTGAGCAAGGATTTAACCATCCACACACCAAATATGCAGAGTGTTACCATTCCGCTCTACAGACTTTAACCCCTTAATACCGGAGGGCGAACTATTACGCCCTATTTTAGGCGGCTCTAAACGCCGACGGGCGTAACAGTACGCTCTCCGTTTTTTTTTTTTACTTACCGGTCGCCGGCGATCCCACGCCAGCGATCGCGGTTGGGGGGACCCCCAGGGAGCCCCCTGCAGCAGATCCAGCCTCCTGCAGCCCACCCGGCCATGTGAAAGTGAGGTCCTTGCGAGGACCTCACAATCACATGGCCGGGATAGCTGGCTGCTGCATTGCCAGCAGGGGGACTGCCTGTAATGACAGGTGGTCCCCCTGCTGGATGGAAATAAAATCAAATTAAAGTTAAAGGACCACTATAGTGCCAGGAAAATGAGTATGTGCCCCCACCCTCAGGGACCCCCTCCCGCCCGGCTCTGGGGAGAGGAAAGGGTTAAAACTTACCTTTTTTCCCAGCGCCGGGCGGGGAGCTCTCCTCCTCTCCGCCTCCGATCCTCCCATTCGGCTGAATGCGCATGCGCGGCAAGAGCTGCGCGCGCATTCAGCCGGTCTCATATATTCAGCCGGTCTCATATGAAAGCATTTACAATGCTTTCCTACGGACACTTGCGTGTTCTCACTGTGATTTTCACAGTGAGAATCACGCAAGCGCCTCTAGCAGCTGTCAATGAGACAGCCACTAACAAATATTTGTGTTCAGCGAAGTCTCCCTGGTACAACAGTACCCCTCATGTACAGGTTTTATGGTGTTTTCAAAAGTTACAGCGTCAAATATAAGGCTTGTGTTTCATTTTTTTCACATTAAAATTTGCCAGATTGGTTAGGTTGCCTTTGAGACCATATGGTAGCCAAAGAATGAAAATTACCACTATGATGGCATACCATTTGCAAAAGAAGACAACCCAAGGTATTGCAAACGGGGTATGTCTAGTCTTTTTTAGTAGCCACTTAGTCACAAACACTGGCCAAAATTGGCGTTTTTTGAATCTTTCACACACAAACAAATACTAACGCTAACTTTGGCCAGTGTTTGTGACCAAATGGCTACTAAAAAAAAGACTGGACATACCCCATTTGCAATACCTTGGGTTGTCTACTATTGCAAATTGTATGCCATTATGGGTGTAAATTTCATTCCTGGGCTACTATACCGTCTCAAAGGCAACGTAACCAATCTGGCGAATATCAATTTCAAATGTAACGTGCTATATTTGACCCAGTAACTTCCCAAAACGCCATAAAACCTGTAAATAGGGGGTACTGTTTTACACGTGAGACTTTGCTGAATACAAATGTGTATTTTATTGCAGTAAAAGCAAACAGTATTATGACAGACAGTTAAAATGTCATGTAGAACTAATAAAATAAATTTAAAAAAATCTTATTTTCTCCCATTTTTTTCATATTAAATTATGTTTCACAGCTAAATATTTGATATTAAATGAAAGCCCTGTTTCCACTGAATAAAATGATATATAATAAGGGTGGGTGCCTTTACTATGAAAGAGGTGAATTACGGTTGGACAGACATGTGCCAGGTTTTGTTTACATTTTGTTTTGTTCACAACGTGTACATTTGGCTCCGTCCTTAAGGGGTTAAAGCCCACTTTATGTGGTTCAGTATAGAATACCCTAATGGCATTAAGGGGTTAAACCAGTGATAACCTCATTTCTGATATAGTCAAATTAGTCAAAAACATGGCTCTAAATGCTAAATTTAAAGCTTACAAATTTTCCCACAATTGGTGATTACCTTATTAAAATTATGGTAGCGCTAGAGGACCATTAAAAAAAAAAAATATATGAAGTGGTTGTAGAAACTCCCAACAGAAAATTTGTAAAGACAGTGATTTAAAAAAATAAATAAATAAATAAAATGTACCCATCTGTAAAACCTTACCTGTACATTTTCCTCTGTGACTTTAATTTCGGCAGTGTAAACGTAATCAACAAGCAGTTTTAGAGTCCATCCATCCACTTCCTTTATCCGGACTCTCTTTGCTCTGCTCTCACTCATCTCCCCTAAAATAAAATAGTCATCAATGGTAATTAAACAGTGACAGCTCAGTACTTTGCCATCTTTAGTTAATTCATGTATTATAGATTAATACAAATACAATTCATTGCAGTCTGCAGTAGTCATTGTAGTAGCTACTGATTGCAGTACACTGTACTTAAAGGGACTCTCCAGTGCCAGGATAACATCAGTTTTCCTGGCACTGCAGGGCCCTGCAGTGCCCCTCTCTCTCCCAACCCCCTCCCATGTTGCTGAAGGGGTTAAAACCCCTTTAGTGACTTACCTGAATCCGGCGCCGATGGCCCTCTGCGCTGGGTCAGGCTCTGTCCCTGCTCCTTCCCCGCCGACGTCAGACGGAGAGGGGGAACTAATGTGCATGCGCGGCAATGGCCGCACACGCATTAGACCTTCCCATAGGAAAGCATTATTCAACCAAAACCTATGGAGATTCCGGCAACGCTGGAGGTCCTCATGCATAGAGTGACGACGTCCAGCGTTGCTTGAAACACTTTTCGTGTTCTAAGAACATGGAAGTCCCTCTAGAGGACTTAACCGTGCAAAGTAATTATTGCAGTTTATAAAAATTGCAATAATTACACTTGCAGGTTTAAGGAGTTGGCACCCAGACCACTCCAATGGGCAGAAATGGTCTGGGTGCCTGGAGTGTCCCTTTAAGATATTTACCTTCTTTTATTATGGATTCAAAAGGCGTAGCAGATTATGTGTCGTCAAAAATGTACTAAGATTGTCATCATTATTCAACTTATGGAACTACTCATAGGAGAAATCCCTAATTAAGCAGGTGTAAGTGGATACTTTCAACAAAGCAGGAGAATATATCAAATGTAAATCAATTGTAGGAAAGAGAAAAATACATATAGAATAAAAAAAAGTTTCAGTAATCTTAGTTTGCTTGTTTTACTACAAGAAAGCCACATATCAGTGACCCCAGAGCTCACCGCCTCATTTTTAAAATGCAAAAACAAAGTCAATGATCAATAACCAATTTCTTAAAAACAAGCATTACATAAGAATATACACTCCTCTAAATAATAAAATGTGTAGCAAAAATATTTCCTCATAGAGCCCATAGGGTAATAACAGTTTTGTTGTGTTAAACATATTCTTCATTTAGAGTTTCCTCTACGAACACAATGGCCAAGTGTTCAGAAAACTAAACGGAAACATTTGGTTTGGACGAAACAAAAACTTCGGTGGCACCCAAGGCTAACGGATACTGCATACAGAGCACTTCTGTTAGCTCTCCTAGTCCAAGCCCTGCAATGCAGGGCTAGCTTACGGACTGAGAGCGTCAGCTGATCACCCAGTGGAGCTTGTGGTTTTCCACAGTAAATAGTGGAGGTGGGAAGTGGCACATGGCTGACCCAACGCAAGAAGTCAGACTGCTGTAAAATGGTTTGAATGCATACAAAGAGGAGGTGCCAAGCGACGCCTGTAGTGGCTATGGTGATCTTTTAAAGCACTCAATCACTAAGGCATTTATGTTATGTCACAAAAGAAGAGAATTACCGCGCCACATAAACAACAATAAAAAGACAGTCAGCAAAGACAAACAAGTCAATATTTAAAAATCAATATATAAAAATGCTAAATATATAGTCCCAAACAAAGTTCTCACATAAAAAGATGTCTCTCATTAAGAGGTAAATGCAGCTGTGGGTGCTTGATAAAAAGCAAGTTGCCTTGGACTTGGGGGTGTAAGCTTAGGTTTGGGTATCCGTATAAAAGAAAAAAGATAAAAAGCAGGGAATCCCAAAAGTGCAATATGTCAAACCCAACATAATAGGTAGAAGAAGAATAGCGATATCACACTCACATTTATTAGAGCTATGGCCAGCACTAGCATTAGTTGCTTACAGTGGTACAATCCCCACTTATAGGATATGATGGAAAAAGGCCACAGTGGTAGAAATGACCAGAAACTCAGAAAAAAAGTAGAAAAGGCAACAGATAGTGCTCTCAATATGATGATAAAACTTTATAAAATAGATTAAAAAAATAATAAAATTAAAAAAAAAAAAAAACGTACTCACAAGTATAGATCTAGTATGATATCAGCTTGGTGGTATGAATCCCACCTGGGATTTCTTTGGAGTAGATGTTTGTAGAATATAAAATATGTAAAAGAAAAAAGGTAATTGGCACAGTACGCGAGTGCAGTGGCCAAAAACCCTTTATTGATTAAAATACAAAATAACATCCATAATGTGTTTCACCAGTATTACTTTTTCAAATGGAGTAAAACATACAACCTGGCTAAGTGGGGTTTATATAGGTATAGCCTATATCATGAAAAATAACTTGTTTTTATAGTTTTTCAATATATCTTGACCCCCTCATTAATACATGACGGAAATATTCCGTCATGATTCCCTTTTTTTATTCCAGAAGTTGTGTCCTTAAGGGGTTAAAGGTTCTTTACACATATATGTTTACATAAAGACATGTTGCTCTATAATTAGAGAACAGCAAATGATGTAATTTTGGCACCAATTTTAAACGATCCCATACCTATATAAACCCCATTTAGCCAGGTTGTATGTTTTTACTCCATTTTAAAAAGCCATACTGGTGAAACGCGTTATGAATGCTATTTTTTAAAGGGTTGAGAGGGTTTTAAAAACCCTTTTTAAAAGGGTTGAGAGGGATCCTCTTTTAGGCTTGCTGCCTTCTTACAATAGTTTGGCTTTAATTAAACTAATCTCTGTACTAATTTGCGTTCAAACACCAGCAGCAAGTGTCCCCGGGCAAGACCCATAAAGAAGCACTGTAGTGTTAGGAATACAAAGCTGTATTTCTAACACAATAGTTACTCTACACCTCAAAAATTAATGTCATTCATCTTCACCCTGCGTCATCCTCCACGCAGACTGAGCTTACAGCGAGGGTAAAGCCTTATAAAGCCATCCAACGCTGGGCAATTTGACAGAACACCAGGTCAAATTGCACAGTGTGCAATTGGCCACTGGCTGCTCACTTTAGTAGACATGCCTCTACTTGCAGCACAGCAGGTAGGGACAAGAGGGAAGATTTAACCTCCCTGATATACCAATTGTATTCCAATTGTTTTTTTACTTGGTAAAGTTGTCTGAAAGACCAAGAAAAGCAAAGGCTTTCAGAATTTTGGTCTTTTCCAAAAATGAGCCATTTACTAAAAAGCTCCCTAATTTGGTATCCTTAAAGCAACACTATAGCCAACATATAAAAGCAGGAAAGACAGGTCCCCTAGCCTGCTTTCTTGTTTTTATATTGGTTTCCCCTTAATAAAAAAATCAATTAGAGTGATTTTTATGATCTATACTTACCTCCGTTCCAGCGGCGAGATCCTCGGCAAGCCATGCCCCCTTTGTAGTCAAAATGACGGTACAGCAGGGCTCAGACGCTTCTCTTAGAGAAGCCCCATCGGTCTGTGGTGCGCATGTGCGACTTCACGCTGCACCAAGCGCGTTCTTTATAGAGCGGCAGTGAAATTAATGCTGCTCTATGAATGAGCTCTGAGCAATCTACCGTGCTCAGCTCTCTGTCAATGCACGCCCCCTCCTACCGCAATCCTCCTAAACCCAAAGGTTGTGTTTGCATAGAAACACTATATATGTAGATATCTCTATATATAGTGTTTGTATACAAACACACAAATTGTAAACATACACACACTCTTTCTATCGAGTATCTATCCCTCTCTATCCATCCATCCAATTACCCCTCTCTATCCATTCATCCATCCCCCTCACTCACTCTCACAAAAACTTTGGTGGCACCCAAGGCTAACGGATAATGCGTATAGAGCATGCACGGGATTAAGACCCCGACTCATACTCGGGCAGAAGGCGGCTGTGGTATTTACAACACTACTTAGAAGATGATAGCAGTGTGAAGGATCCAGCACTCCTGAAATCCTATGGTTGTGGGAAAAATCCAATCAGTTTGCATACCCAATCATCGTCGAGACTTGATGAAGGGTACAACTTTAATGTTTTATTTTGGCCAGATGGCCCACTTATATACACTGACCCCGAGCATGGGGTCTCATGCAAAATAAATAAAAATAAAAAACACTCCCACAACAAGCACAGATCTCTGTGTCTGGGAGATAATTTAGTGTATTTTGCTTAAACTAATTATCTCCCAGTCACTAGAGTTACAAAGTATAAAACATAAAACACCCCAAAATACATATAACACATATAGGAACCCCCCACAAATATCATATCCTCAAATAGCCTGGATCTGAGCACCCAATATATCCAAATAGCGCTCAGATTCCACGAACACAGCCAAATTGCCACTGGGGTAAAAGTTTTGACCGACCGCAAATCAAGTTCAGATTCACATTGCCCAAACCAGTTCCAGAGAATCAGGGGTAGCAGTCAGTCACCTCTGGGAGTTCCCAAACAAACAAAAAGTGCGAACATGCCTATCGAACAGCGCTCTCCTGGCTTGTCGTGGAAAGAAGCAGCAGTTCGTACCAAATCACTGGTGTTCATGGGGTCGAGTATCCGCTTTACAGTTCCAGACACTCGACATCCAGGTACCATTGCCTGCTTTCGGGAGACAAGTGTTGTTCGTTATTTGAACTAGGGATCAACATTTTGTTTTAGTCCCCCCCTCCCTGCTTCTTACCTGGCCAGAGAAGGAAGACTAAAACTAAATGTTAAAAAAATTTAAAATGCCCCCCTTTTACACACATTACATACCTACACACACTGCATCCACTATGCACACACTACACAAACACACACTGCATCCACTATGCACACACACACTACACAAACACACACTGCATCCACTAAAAACACACATTCTTGAAAACAAATTTTGACTGTCATGTATATTTTGTAAAAAAAAAAAAAAATTGCAAAAATATAAATAAATAAACATGTTCAGTTAACAGTAGATTTGTGTAGAAATAGTTTATTTTTTCAAAAAACGGTAAATGTACAGAATATCGGTATCGGCTCTAAAATATCAATATCGGTCGATCCCTAATTCGAACGACGGCCATACAGCGAGAGCGCTTAAGTTTGTGGTTTCTTTGAAGTTAAATGAGCCAGTGGGTGGTTTTCGGTAGATTAGTTTACCGAATGCAGGAAAAGAAATAACTGGGACAAAGAAATCTGGGGTTGTCACAGGTACCCTCTAACTACTCCATCAGCAACGGCATGAACATGCTTCACTACCATGTACTACAATATGGGAGGTCTATCTACCACTACACAGACTACAAATACAGACATGCTGTTACCAATGTTGAGGAACCTTCTAACTCCGACACTAATTTTATGTATGTACGAATGCAATCTGATGTAACTTATGATCATTCAATTTTATGGATATGTTTTTTACCCTTAAATGCCTATTTCTTGCCATAACAAACAAAAATGTATTTAAAAAAAAAAAAAAAGCCTTGCGGGATGCAGAGCCTGGAAGGAAAACTTTTAGTATCCAGATACTGGCCCTCTTAGAGCTTGGGTGGGTTGGTAAAAAGCCACAATACTAAGTCCCCGCAGTAGGAGGAACAGCTACTACCGCAGGACTAAGTGGGCAAAAGGCAGCATCATGCTGGGCAAGAGGATGAACTGTCTATTCAGGCCTACTAGTGGGATCTGGTGCAGGCCGGCTGATGCCTCCATTTCAGCTACCATCCTGGGCATAGATGAGGACATACTGCGTGCTTGCATTTATTATTGGTTGCTAAATATCCAGCAGCACCAACATTTTATTTGTTTTAACCATTTCATAAGCCTGAGTTACTACACCTATATTTAGTTACTCTACCTAATATCCAAGAGGCCATGTCTGCATATAAGTTTCAATATCCGAGTACAGACACACATGCCTCTGCTACTTGCGTCTAAATAATCCTGTTGGTTTCATAATATTGGAGTATTGCATCCTCTCAGATGTTCTTTACTTGATCTTGTTACTAACCTATATCAAAATGTGCTGATTTTTGTATACACTTCACTTTACACTTCATCGTGTGTGCTATGCATGTCTCCAAGTGTCTTTAAAAATTCTATTAAAAATAAAAATGCATAGCAAGAAAAATAATAAAATAAATTGTGGTTACCATGACAACTTTAAATCACTTAAGTGGTCATGGTTATTTGAGTACCCTTTAAAGTCCACTGGCAAACAGACAATGCCTACCTATTACGCACACAGCAATCTACAGTTTTATTCAGCACAACGAGAGGGCAAGTTAACCACATTGGAAAGATTTAAAAACAGACGATTCTAAATTAATAAAAGAAAATCAAAGTATAAACTCAATTACGGTTTAAGAAAATTGGATTTAGGACTATAGCCCCTAATAAGAGTTCAAACCAGATTTGGTAGGTTTCCCTCTTAAATTCCTGTTGCGGCCAATGGGATTAAAAGGGATAAAGAAAATGGGAAAAAAAACTCAATCTGCTTTGCTCTTCATACAGCATGGTGCCACTTTATAAAAGCTAAAGCTTAGTTTAATCTTGCACAATTTACCTGAAGTGTTCATTTTACAGGACAGTAATCTGTATTATTCGGCTTCCTTTCTGCAATCATAACATGGACCCAGAGATGCAGTACATAGATAACTGAATATAAGAGCTTTAATGCACGGCTTGACAAATTTGCTTGGAATCTAGGAGCCAGCTACAAAAAAAAAAAAGTTAGGAACCCAGTTTGTCAACGTCAAAAATACAATTTTTAAAAGTGATACTATAGTCACTAAACCACTTCAACTTAATGAAGTGCATGCTTAATGTACTGCACCATTTAAATGGAAACACTGCATTTAAAGTGAAGAAGCATGCCTCAAACAGCCTCTAGAGGTGCTTCCAGGGTCAGTAATGCAGTGTGCAGCACCTACATTCAGCATCTCCACGCTCCCCATAGAAAACCAGGGATTTAATGCATCTCTATGAGGAGATCCGGATTGCTGCAGCGTGGCATAATGCCTCGCATGGGCAATAGCCTCCACTGCTTTGTCAAGTGAAACTATAAAAGTTAAGAACCAAGACAAAACATAGGATTTGAACTATATGTCTGTGAGAATTTAACCGCTTAAGAACAAAGGCAATTGTACAAGTTCTGATAAAAACAAAAATGTATATAAAACCTGGAATTTGAGCTGTATGTCTGTACAACCGTAATTCACCTCTTTCATATCCACACTTATTAGATATAATTTTGTTTAGGAGCAACAAGGGTTTCATTTCACATCAAATATTTATATATACTAAAAATTATTTCTTACACTTTGAATTTAATTCCTTTAAAATAAAGAATTATTTTTTCTAAGTTCTGCATGGAATTTTAATGGTCATAATATTGTTGGCTTTTATTGAAATAAATATATTTGTGTTCAGCAATGTCTCAGGAGAACAAAAGCACCCACCATATACAGGTTTTATGGGGTTTTGGAAAGTTGCAGTGGCAAATAATGGGCTTTCCCCTTTTCTGTTTTTTTACATTGAGAGTGATTTGCTGGGCTAATGTTTTTGAGACTGTATGGCAGCCCAGCAATGAAACTTACCCCATCACGGCATACAATATGAAAAAGTAGACAAATCAGGGTATTCAAATAGTCCAGTCTTTTGTAGCAGCCACTTAGTCACAAACCCATATAGGTTTTTTATTTTTAGATTACCCGTGAAAGTGTTTTAGAAGACTCATATTTGTGTTTAGGTTTTATGGTGTCTTTGAAATTTACGTGGTAGTATGGTCATTGCTGATGTCCAGGAGAGATGGAAGTTTGAGCACAGGACTTATTTTTCTAAATTTAGGATTTATATTAAAAAATAAATAATAAAAAAGATATGAAGAGATTATACATATACTCGCAGAATTAGATATAAATAGAGTTGTGTACAAAAGTTTGCGTACCCTTGGTAATATATGTACCATTTTCAAAGAAAACATGAATGAGATTTTTTGGTAAGTCACAGGGACAAAATATATTAGATGCCCTTTCCAACTTGGAAAGTTGACAAAGTGATTTTCTGGACCTACCCCGCCTTTGAGGCAGTATGGCAGCCCTAGAGATGTGAAAGCCCGGGAAAAAAAAACAGAAAAATTCGGGAAAAAAATGTTTTTCCCATTTTTTCCCTGAAGGCTTTTAAAAAAAAAATAAAAAAAATTGAAGAAAATAAAAATGTGGAATATTTTATTTTAACATGATGAATAAAATATTTTAAGACGGGTGTTCAAATATTTTCCAAATCATTTCTAAAAAAAAAAAAAAAATGTATGCTATCAGATTATTCTAATTTCTGTGCACTTAGTGAGGACAAGCAAGTCCTAGGTAACAAACTGAACCCTCCAATGCAAGAACAGTATGCATTTCTTCCTTTAGGAGGTGCTGTGCTGCTATTGTAACAAGAAAAAAGTTTCCGTTTTACCAGTAATCTGGTTCTTCCCCCAGTGACCCCCACACACATAGATCAGTGTCTTCTTGCAAAGTAGTCATTTTTTTCTTGTTTTTATTTCCTACTCCCCTCAGAAAAATGGTGAGACCAACATCTAGCATATGGAGGCATTTTCACATTACAAGTTCTTCTGAAAAGAAAAATGTGATTTGCAAATATTGTCAGATGAAATATGCATTTCCAAATGCTACCAGGATGACAAAACACATTCTTGTATGTAACAAGTGTCCTGTAGATATTAAAAAATCCTTCATGGATCAAAGTGAAGAGGACAGCAATGACAATGCACATAGGTTTTTCTCAACGTTCTCGTTCAAGAAGTCCTCTTTCTACTCCATCTATAACGTCAGCAGCAACACAAAGTGTTGTCGCATCAGCAGCATATTCAAGTAAACAGATACTGAAGACAGTTGCATCCAATAATTTTATGGCAAGACAGGAGGCTTCATATTTGCTTATCTTTCTTTACTGAACCTCCCAGCAGCAAAGAAATAGTTAATAGTGTAAAAACAATTCAACCAATCAGAGTGTATAACAGTATTATATGATGTCATCAAACTCCTCCCAAGTCCTCTTTCTTTGCTGCTTGCCTCCCAGGTGAGTCTGCTCCAATTATATTGCCTTAGGGTTTTTGCCTTTAATGCAATATTTGAACAAATTTTCAAATTTCTATTATCATTTTTAAATAATTTTCGGTGGTAATGTTTTGTTTATCAAACATTCATTCTCACTTGTTTCTCACACAATTTATTATCAGTACACAATACCCTTACTACATATAATTATACCTAACATGTTTGTTTATTTACGTCTCTGAACAGTTTTTAAACTTTATCTCCATTGTTCCCCTTTAAAAATAGTCGGGGTTTGCCTCTACGATTTTATTACATTTGTGGCTCAATTTCGCGCCCTTTCTCAGATCCCGCCTTCTCGCGCCTGCAATTACCTGACGCGCTTCCTCCCGCCCTATTGCTGGCGGAGGCCATCTTAAACCGTGGTTTACCTTGTTATTTATGTGCGATCGCTTCACCTCACGTCGGATCCGGTAAGTATCTTATTTTGTTGCTCATAGCACCCTTAAAGTGCTACCACCTTTTTCCAAATTATTCTTTGTACCTATTTGTTTTTCTTGACAGGAAAATACCTGCTGTATCTTATCATAATTAAATAAAGGACAGCCTTGTGGGTGACCCCCACCTTTTTCTTTGTCACTTGATTCATTGAATATTGTTGTGGGTGACCCCCACCTTTTATTCACTTTCTAATCAATTTATGACAGGTGTCTCAACACCATTACTACAAGTGAGTGACCCTCACCTTTGCAAATAATACAATATATTATTTAAAGTGACCCAACACTTTATTAAATATTTTACAGACATACTCATAAAAGTCTGACTACTGAGTGGTGAACCCCAGTTCTTATTGTTACAGTGGTACAATCCACTTATATAATTTAGTGGTCTACCCCACTATATATTGTGTGCCGCCCTTATATATCAAACTACGCTTATTTGGGTGACCCCCTACTTAGAAATTTTACTAAGCACAATTGGGTGAACCCCATTTAACATTCTTGTCTTACGACTATTTGTCAGAATCACTAATACAGTCCTAACTAAAATGTCTGACAATACTGAGCCCGCAATCTCTCAGGAACTTAAAGCTTGGCTGGTTTCAACCATTACTGAATCCATCCCCAAGGCGTTAGCAGCCTTCCATGAAAAGACTCCTGGCGAAGTCAATCCCACCACACATTTACTCTCTGACTCAGAGGACTCTCAGCCCTTGGATCAGGAGGTCACACGTCCTTGGAAAAGGAATAGTGTGTCTGCGGGCAAGGGCAAGGCTCCTGCCAAGTCCCAAAAATTAACTGTCACTCGCCCCGCCCAAACTATATTCGACCCCTTGGAGGGTTCCACTTCTCAAATGGGCGATGGGGTTGAGGATTACTACCTTGGCTATTCTGATGAGGACCTCTCGGCGAATGCGCTAGGGGATACCCCATCGGAATTTGTCAAGGAGACATTCATTACCAAAAAGGACACAGATGCAAACATCTCTATGCCCAAGGGACCCAACTCAGACACCCTTCTGGATGCCTCGGGTGTCCCTTTTTTCGACCCTAGGGTCATTAGACATCCACGTTTGGCCGAATGGGCCCCACCTGACCACATCTCTAATTTTTGCAAGATGTGGCTGCGTAAGCCCCTTGAAAAAGAAATAAGGGCTAAACTCAGAGCCGAATGCCCTCGGCCAACTATACCAAGTAAAGTGGCTCTCAGGCCAGAGTTTAACCCGCTATTTGTGACCTTCCTCACTAAAACAGGGAAAGACCCTCGCAAGGGTATTGAGCAGGGTCTTAAGACAGCCCAGGACAATCTGGTCCCATCATCCAGATTTTCATACTAGCTGACGAAGCTATAACTAGTGGGAAGTTTGACCCTCACACAGTCCGAGAATGGGCCCAAAGAGCCCTATGTTTCCTGGGCAATGCAAATGTGGATATATCCACTGAGAGACGTAGGGCGGCACTATATAAACTCAATGCTAAATTAGCAGACTTAAGCTCCCGAGAACTGGGACCAGAAGCCAATGGCTTGTTATTTGGGAACTCTTTCATGAGAGATCTGTCCAAACGTGCAGCAGTATTTACTACCTTAAACAAGGCCCAATCCTCCCTATGCAGGGTATTTCGCTCCCAGTCAGGTCGTTTTTCTGGGAGAGCTGGACGATAAAGAGGCCGAATGAACAACAGAGCTGCCTTCACAGGCTACAGGCCTCGTCCCTCAGAAAATTACTGGAACTCGGGACCCCGTCGACCCTACCACAGGCAGTTATTCACCAATAGAAGATCCATCCGGGGACGTGGATCTGCCTCCTTACGCGGACACACTGCTCCAGATAATAAACCTTCCTTTTTTCAATGTACCTATAGCAGGTCGACTAACCCATTTTTTCCAACAGTGGGAACTGCTTTCACAGGATCTATGGATCCTACACACAGTCAAGAGGTTCAAAATAGATTTCCTTTCTACTCCCTTCCAGGACACACCACCTACACCATTTCGGATGTCTGCAACAGACAATCTGGCATTACACACAGAATTGAACAAATTGGTGGAAAAAGGGGCGATAGAAAGATCACCCTTCCCACATACCTTTGTAAGCAATATTTATCTGGTCCACATAAAATCCGGAGACCTGCGTCCAATAATCAATTTGAAAGACCTGAATCACTATGTCAGATTTCGTCATTTCAAAATGGAGGGCATCCATCTCCTCAAGGACCTCCTTTGCGTGGGAGACTGGTTATCCAGATTCGATCTCAAGGACGCATATCTCACTGTCCCTGTCGCCCGCAACCATCGGGCTTTTCTTCAATTCCTCTGGCAAGAGGAAATTTGGCAGTTCACATGCCTCCCGTTCGGTCTTTGTTCCGCACCATGGTGTTTCACAAAGCTGATGAAACCAGTGATGGTGCTACTCCAATCACAGGGGATTCGTTCCATTGTATATTTGGACGACATCCTGATAATGGCTCAAGATCCAGACCTTTTACGTCAACACACGGACATGACGACGGCCTTATTACAAAACCTAGGTTTTGTAATCAACTTTCAAAAATCGGACCTGGAACCTTCTCAGAAAGTTCAGTTTCTCGGATTCCTAAAAGACTCCATACAGGCGATTTTACAACTACCTTCTACAAAGGTCAAGGCTATAAAGAAAGACATTTGCAAATTGCTATCAGCCCACCAGATTCGCCTATGCGATCTGGCTCATACCATAGGCCTACTGTCTGCCTCTATCCGAGCCATTTATCCAGGACCCCTACATTACAGAGCCATGCAACGGCTGAAGACTTACTATCTAAACTGGTCCACCTTCTACGACCAACTGATCTACCTAACAGACGAAGTCTGTATAGAACTTCATTGGTGGCTTCACAACATGGAAACCTGGAATGGCAAAGCCATTTTCGGATCACAACCAGACTTCATTCTGGAATCCGATGCCAGTCTCTTGGGGTGGGGCGCTACGTGCGCCGAAAGGTCCACCAGGGGACTATGGTCCCCCTCCGAACAAGCACTGCACATCAATTGCCTAGAATTGATTGCAGGATCTTTTGCGATTCGCAGTTTCGCAAAATATTGTTTCAATTGTTCACTAGTACTGTGCATGGACAACGTCTCTGCAGTGCATTATGTGAATCGGTTAGGAGGATCCCGATCCAAATTACTGTCTGACCTTACCAAGGAACTCTACCAATTCTGCCTAGAGCGGAATTTATCCATCAGAGCAGAATATCTTCCGGGCATGGACCACCTAGTCGCAGATTGGTTCTCTCGTCATTGGAGGGACCTAAGCGACTGGCAATTGGATCCCCGCTTGTTCTATCAAATTCACTGTCTTCGCGGGCCCCTCACACTGGACCTGATCGCGTCTCGGCTGAATCACCAGACAAAGGCCTTTTTCAGCTAGCTCCCAGATCCCCAGTCCTGGACAGTCGATGCCTCCCTACACCCTTGGCCGGAGACAGGAGCTTATGCGTTCCCGCCTTTCTCCATGATCCATCGCACCCTTTCCCGGGTCAAAGCCCTAGTAGTGACGATAGATATTGTCACTCAGCTATGGAGAGCCCAGACTTGGTTTCCAACCCTGCTAGAACTGTCTGTGAATTGTTCAATTCTACTACCTCGATCCCCCGACATCCTCAAGAATTCAGCAGGGCGCTGTCACCCACTCGCCCTTCAAGAACAGCTCTAGCTTGTAGCTTGGACCGTTTCAGGGGATCCTGGAATGTCTCGGGACTTTCGGAGACAGCTCAGGCCCTCCTATGGGACTCCTGGGCCCCAGGCACTAGAGCTTACCTCGCTGCATGGCGGACATGGGTCAGCTGGTGTTTGGAAAGGGATACCGATCCCTTTTCAGCACCTCTGACGATCATCCTAAATTTTCTATCTACTCTCTTTGATCAAGGCAAGTCCTATAGATCAATTAATGTTTTTAGATCTGCTATTTCTGCGGCCCACAACCCTATTGACAATGCATCAATAGGAAAACACCCTTCAGTTTGTAGACTTTTACGAGGGATCAGGCTAGCCAGACCCCCTCTTCCAAGATATTCCAATTTCTGGGACGTCACTCAGGTTTTTTCCCTTTTAGACTCCTGGCCCTCTAATGAGAATTTGACGTTACGTCAACTCTCTGCCAAACTGGCCTTACTCCTATGTCTGGTATCCTTCCGTAGGGTCTCCGATATTTGAGCATATGATTTCCACGCTGTAGTTTTTTCGCTTGAGGGCGTTAAATTTCACATCACCAGGCTAACGAAGACTAATTCGTCCTCTGTAGTCTACCCTTCCTTTCCGAATAGACAGTCGCTTTTCGTTGCGCTCTGTGTGAGGCACTATATAGATGCCACAACCACTCTGCGTTCCCCTACAGGACCCCTTCTCGTTTCCTATGTCAGACCACACACACCGGTGTCCGCTCCCACCGTTGTGCGGTGGATCAGATGGATACTAGCCCAAGCAGGTATTGACTCCTCTTTTGGAACGCATTCAATCAGAGGAGCAGCCGCATCCTCAACCTTTCGTGCGGGTAGTTCCCTCTCAGACATTGACATCTGCAGATTGGACCAGGGAATCCAACTTTCGAACATTCTATTTCAAACCTATGCCACATGCTGCATCTTCTATCATATAAGAGCGTTAAAACAGCAAATATGAAGCCTCCTGTCTTGCCATAAAATTAGGGATTATTCTAGCCCTAGTGAATAATAATCTAAATTTTATTAACGACAGGAGGCGAATATTTACCTCCCTTCTTTGTTTTTCATTATCATTTATACCCGCCCTAAAGTAAGTTACTAAAAAGAAATTTCTAGTCGATCTGTTTCAAACACATTCACACATCATCTGTCATAGGTTTACACCACAACACTCTAACCAAGAGTTAGACATACTCAACATCATTTTACATGAAATCTATTGAAATTGCTGTCCCTAGTATGCATGCCATAAACTTGCATTCAACTAGTAAGAGAACCTATACTCTCATGTTTTTTTTCTCTACTTCCCTTTAGTGTGAAGAATCCCAACGCTTGTGATATATGGATTCATCAATCCCGTTGAAAGTTTACATGTCTGACTACATCAGGACCTTGGATTGGTCACAGTTCATAGTTATGGTTTACATGGTTGATACTCTGATATCGTCGGCTACAGCAAGAAAGAGGACTTGGGAGGAGTTTGGTGACATCATATAATACTGTTATACACTCTGATTGGTTGAATTGTTTTTACACTATTGTTAACTATTTCTTTGCTGCTGGGAGGTTCAGTAAAGAAAGATAAGCAAATATTCGCCTCCTGTCGTTAATAAAATTTTGATTATTCAGTCACTAGGGCTAGAATAATCCCTAATTATTCACTAACTTCATTAATAGACAAGATGACACCTGAAGATCAGGAAAGAAATTGATCAAGCTCTTGCAAGAGCAATATATTCTTCTGGAACGCCGTTTTCAATAACTGAAAATACATACTGGCAGGAAGCTTTGAAATTATTAAGACCATCATACCAATTGCCCAGCAGACATTCTCTGAGCAAGCCTCTTTTGGAGTCAGAATATGAATGTGTAATGGAATCGGTACTTACAGATGGATGGACAAATGCGAGAGAAGAAGGAATTATAAAAGTTTGTTAGAGCAACACCTCAGCCAGTTTTTTACAAAAGCATTGAAACAGGAGACAAACTTACTGCAGAGTATATCAGCTGTAAAATCTGTGATGTCCAACAGAAAATTGGGAGTGGTAAAGTATTTGCTTTGCTTACAGACAATGCCAGCAATATGAAAGCAGCATGGGAAATCATAATGGAGAAGTATCCACATATTACTGCAATAGGATGTGCAGCCCATGGGCTAAACTTGCTTTTTAATGATATTATGAAGTTGGACACCCTTCAAATTGTCTATAGACGAGCAAAATAATTTATTAAACATGTAAAAGGTACTCATATTGTAGCTGCAGTTTTCAAGAAGCAGCAAGTTGAAAAAAATGCAAAGAATAGCATAGTTACGCTGAAGCTCTGTAGTAAAACTCGGTGGGCTGGAGTGGTGATCTCCTTTGAAAGTTTACTAAAAAAACAAAGAAGCTCTTCAAGAAACAGAAATAGTTGAAGATCTTAAAGTACTCAGGAGTGTAAGAAACAATGTTCTTGATCAGGAAGTCTTCTGGGTTCAGCTGCAAAATTCCCTGAAGATTCTAAAGCCAACTGCTGCAGCAATCACTGCATCTGAATCAGATAGTGCACTTTTGTCAGAAATTCCTTATCTAATGACCAAGATAAAAACAACTGTTTTTGAAAATCTCAGTATATCTCCACTTTCGACTATAAAAGAAAGTAAAGTGAAAGATTTTATTAATAAGAGAGAAGAATTTTGTTGTCATCCAATTGATGCTGCTGCAAATCTGTTGGATCCAAAATTCAATGGTGCAAACATAAGTGATGATGACACTGCTACTGCATTTGACTGGATCACAAAACAAGCATCACATTTAGGACTTTATGTTGGGAAGGTACTTTCAAATGTTGCAGAATATAGAACATCTTCAGGGATTTGGTCCAGGAATGCAATCAGGGATTCTGCCAAACATATTCCTCCTGCAACATGGTGGCAAGATCTTTGCTCAACACAGCCTCTGACTCCTATTGCTTCTCGCCTTCTCCAGATACCTCCATCTTCTGCAGCATGTGAAAGAATCTGATCTATGTTTGGAAACACTCACACTAAATCAAGAAAAACTGACATGTGAAAAAATAGAGAAGCTTGTTTCAATCCGGGCAAACCTTCAGTTTTTAGAAGTTCCTAATTGCGATGACGGACAAAAAAAAAAAAAGAGTAGCTGAAGAAGCAGAGACGGATACTGACAATTTCAGCTCAGAAAAGGATTCTGATTAAATGTCCATTGAAACTTAGTCCCACACTCTTCTTAACACTTCCCCCCGTCTTCAATTATTTTTAGGAGAATGGGGTTTTTATTTTTATTTAATACTGTGGAGAGGAAATATGAAAAATAGTTGCTTTTGAAAATTGTTTTGTGGAGGCTTTTTGGCTGTTCCACAAACTAGTAAGCAGTTCAGGAGATTGTTGCTTCCTTTGTTAAAAATAAATATTATAAAAAAGTAAATTCTGTTTGTGATAATCGTTTGGCTACACTATATTTTTAATATGCTAGTTGTGATAATTTTATGCCAAGTCAAATTGCCCATAGTCCTATTTTATGTTCCTAAAGTAACATAATGACTTTCAATCTTAAAAAGACAAAAAAGTGCTAATGTAGCATTTTTTTTCAATTTTTCTCAAAATTTCAGTTTTAACTTCTTGTCGGTAAGTTACATGGCAAAATATATTAATGGGCATTTTCAACTTATAAAATTTACAAAGTGATTTTCTGGGCTTATGTCACCTTTGCGAGAACATGTCACTCTATAAAAGAAAAATCACCCCCATGATGGTATATAATTTTAACAAGTCTTGTTTGGTGTAGCCACTTTAGAATGGCTGGGCTTAACATAACAGGAACCTGCCAAGGTCAGGGGAATCCAGAAGTCAGAGTAGTGGGTATAACAAGCCAACAAGTCGATACAGGCAGCTAACAAAGAATAATCAGGACAAGCAAAGGTCAAAAATCTAGAATAAAACACACTGACAAAGTCCCATACAGAGTGATTCAACAGTTCAGCTCTGTATGGTAGACTCTGAAACAGTCTGTTATATAGAGAGAAGGTAGAGAAGAGGAGGTTTGGAAAGGAAAGTTCTTGCCACAAAGTCTCTGGATAGTCTAATTCCAAAAAGGGAGGATTGGGTTAATAATACTATCCTTACCTTTTTGTGTCATTTTACCCCACTCCCTCTAGCATGTAAGCTCATTGAGCAGGGCCCTCAACCCCTCTGTTCCTGTGTGTCCAACTTGTCTGGTTACAACTACATGTCTGTTCGTCCACCCATTGTAAAGCGCTGCGGAATTTGACGGCGCTCTATAAATATCATAATAATAAAAAAATATCAGATAAAAAAAAATGTGTATGGCATCCCTATTATTTTTTTATTTTATTATACAGCACATAGCGATTAAAATTGCAATCTAGCTTAAATTCATGGCAATTGTCTTGTACCAGGGCCTAGTTTTTTGGTTGACCAGATAAGGCTGCATACATTGATTAGCCAAATACACTGCCCAAATATACTTGTGGTAGTCTACAATGCACTACTGTTTTTTTACCAGAAGCTCAGTTCTTCCTCTGACAGACACTGGGTCTCATCCAGACAATCCCATTAACTTGCAGCAGTTAAGCAATACACTAAATCGTTTCCCAGATATTTAACTTGTTAAAGTTTTCCTATAAGAAAAAAAAGTACCCTTAAAAACCATGTCAATAGGTATGCACGGTATATATCATGCTTACAATGTTACACACACACACACAGGGGGGTGGGGGAGGGAAGTTCAGACTCAGAGGGAGAGTCTAAAATGGGCAGGTTTGCGGCCCTGATGGACAGGCGAGTCCTGGCCACCATGAGGCGACATTGCTCCTCATGGCATACCTTAATCCATTTAGGCAATTCTTCCACAATCGGTATCCAACAATCAATATACGGAAACTGATCATAGAATTCAGGCCTACTAGATACAGCTGCGTGCACACGTTGTACCAGAGTTAGATCAAGACTACCACGTGGAGGCCATACGGTCACCAAGATAGGTTTACTCTCTACTACATAATGTAGTCAAACGCTTTGGGGGTAATTTCACCCCAAAATCACAAAGTTTATATCCCTTTGCAAAGTTTTTCAACATACACGACAAGGGATCAACAATCTTTGAGTCAGACGCACCCATACTAGCAACGGAGCGTCTAATACAAAGAAACACAATACCACAAACACACTTCTAACGATCACACTTGTTTCCCTGGCAACAGCACCACGTGGCACAGTTGCTAGGCCAAACACACACACACAAAAACGCGCAGAGAATTCTCGTACATACAGTGAAATCACAACGTCTCACTCACAAAGATTTACCAAATACGAGATACTTATCTCTAACTATAAATCAAACCCTACAATTATCCAAATTATAAATCAACTTTTAACTAACCAACTATATCACTTTCTAGTAACCTCATCTTTACAATCAGTGGTTATGGTACAGTAAGCAAGTGGTTATAATAGAGTTTTAAAGTCACAGATCAGTTAGTAACAGTTATGGTGTTACACATATAACATAAGACAACAGTTTTTAGTAATTTTTACACAACGTCAGTAGTTATAGTACATGTTAATGGTTATAATACCGTGCACTATTATACAGTATACACACAATTTACACTCCCACTAGACGGCAGAGCTCAAGCTTTCTAGCAGGACATACAATTCACCAACTACAGTATATTTAACAATATTTACAATAATCCCAACTATTCTAATTGGCCAGCACCTCGAGAACTATCAACCTATTTACACCAGGATTCGGTTAATCTACGCACCTATTTAGTCTATCTACTCTATCAATAGTCTAGTGGGTGAATTTACAACCGCGCACACTTAGCCAAGATAGGTTGAGAACTAGCAGACGGAATGTACACCAAAATCTGCTTAGTCTCGCCGGCCTCCCCGACACAGCGACCGAAATTTACACCTAGACACGCTAGTCAAGACAGGACACCGGTGTCCGGCATAAACTATTTACACCAAGATTTAGCCTGACCCAAACCCAGGGCCAGATTAAGAGCCCAGTGAACCTGGTGCTGATAATTATGACGGGCCTAATTACAGAATCATATCGACCAAAAACAGTAAAACACTCCCAAGCGTCATGTATGTGATGGAGATGGTGCTGGAGAGAAAGAAAACAGCAGCTATAAGAAAACACATACCCTAGGCTAATCTCTCTCTAATTTATGTTTTCATCTTTCAAGTAAATCCATAACCCCTAACAGCAGTGTCCAGTCAAGCAGGAAGTCAATGAGCACGGTAAAAGGGTGTGCCACTGACACAAATCACGTAATCTGCCAAAAGGGGCGAACATACCCAAAAAGAGGACATGTCTGCCCAAAGAATTAGAAGGCCAGCCTGGTATGAATGCATGTCAGGCTGCCTGCCAATCATGCAGCTGGCCAACTAAGGGCATACTATGCAGACAGAACCCTGAGCTTGGCATAAATGCATCTAATGATGCGCTCACTCAACGCTTTCTAAGGACTGTCCCCTAGCACTCGCTGGTCCACTTGTCTCCTTACCTTCTTACTAGCAGGCAGAAGCTCCTGGTATATAGTCTAGGACAAAGAAAAGGTGTATGTAGAGAGTGTAGAAGAAAGGGGACATGCCACAGTGTTAGAGGACCAAAGTCAGCATTACCTTAAAGGATCACTATAGGGTCAGGAACACAAACATGAATTTGTGACCCTATAGTGTTGACACCACCATCTAGCCCCCCTGGGCCCCTCATGCCTCCATAAATATAGCAAAATCTTACTGTATTCAAGCCTGAAGCTGTAAGTCTGCATGCTGTTAGACTCAGAAAAACAAGCAGTCTGCTGGCATCATTAGAAGTGGTGGCCTAATCCAATCACAGTGCTTCCCCATAGGATTGGCTGAGACTGAAAAGGAGGCAGATCAGGGGCAGAGCCAGCATGATTCAAACACAGCCCTGGCCAATCAGCATCTCCTCATAGAGATGAATTGAATCAATGAATCTCTATGAGGAAAGTTCAGTGTCTGCATGCAGAGGGAGGAGACACTGAATGTTTGGATGCATTTTAGGCAGCCATGACCCAGGAAGGATCTCTAACAGCCATCTGAGGAGTGGCCAGTGAAGTTATCACTAGGCTGTAATGTAAACACTGCATTTTCTCTGAAAAGACAGTGTTTTCAGCAAAAAGCCTGACGGTAATGATTCTACTCACTAGAACAAATTCAATAAGCTGTAGTTGTTCTGGTGACTCTAGTGTCCCTTTAACTATATTCATTGTCAGCCAGTCCACACAAGTTTTGTTCCCATACATCCCTCTTAAGTTTCCATACTTAAGTAAGAGTATGTGAAAAGTAGTTAGGGTTGCCACCTTTCTTGGAAAAACATACCAGCCTTACTAATTTGCATAATTAAATATGTATGGGTGACATCACATGATGTAAATCACAAGGAGTGACATAAGAGAAAATGCTGTAAAATCACCAAAAAACTACATAGTTTGATTCTGCTGTATAGCTGGGCTCCTCCCAGTGGCCCCATGTCTCCCAGTGCCCCCATGTGTCGATTACTCCAGGTCTCAGTTTTCCTATGTATCAGTGTCTCAGTGCCCCATGTCTCCCAGTGTCCCCTAGTGTCGGGTCCCCAGGTCTCCCAGTGATCCTATGTATCACAGTGTCTCAATGCCCCATGTCTCCCTGTGTCCCCATGTATCCCAGGGTCCCCATGTCACTACGAAGACAGGAAGACCTGGGGACACGGGGAGACTTAGGGACACAGAGACACCAGTGACACTGGGAGACTAGGGGACTCTGGCTGGGATGCATGGGGACACTGGGAAAATAGGGGACACTTGAAGACATGGGGACACAGACACCATGGACACAGACACTAGAGACACTGGCTGGGGACCATGGGGACATTGAGACATGGTGACAAGGAGACACCAGGGCCACAGACACTAGGGACACTAGCTTGGAGATATGGGGACATTGAGACACTTGAGGCACTGGAAGACATGGAGGCACTAGGAGACATGGGGACAGTGAGACACTGGCAGACTGGGGGCACTGAGACACCAGGGACACTGGCTGGGAGACATGGGGACACTGTGTCCACATGTGTCTGTGTCATAATGTCTCCCAATGTCCCTTAGTGTCTCAGTGTCTGCCATAATGTCTCCCAGTGTCCCTTAGTGTCTCAGTGTATGTCTCCTTGCAGCCTTTCCCCCCCATCCCTTACTTCCCTGAGGCTGTCTCTGCAGGGTGGGAATTGCTGTCTGGACTCTCTGTAGCTGCTCCCCTGCAGATCAGGGAGTATAGATAGGCAGGGAGGGATATGCTGGAACTTCCTATCCCTGCCTGTCTCCACACACAGCGACCCCTACTGGCCAGTGCTGGTATTGCATAGTAATCTCTTGTTTATACTGAGAAAAATACCAGCATTTGTATTGCCAGTATCACTGTAATATTGGCACCAGCCAGGCAGCCTCAAATACTGGCTGTGCCAATAAAATAAAAGCCAGGTGGAATCCCTTAGAGTAGTGTGGGAAAAAAAATGTAAATTTTTATTTTTTTTATAAATCAATGGGCCTATTCCATGGGCCTGGGCCTGGGCCTGGAGCTGCAGCTCCATCAGCCCCTATGTTAATCCGGCCCTGCCCAAACCACCTATATTAGACGGGCTGACTACAGAGCGTCTAATTTCCAGATAAGCGCCTTCGCTTCTTCCCTCCAGAGGGAGGGAGCAATCCAGTAACCGGATCCAAATATAAAAACCCTTGTGGGCCTACCGCTCTAACAGTATCAGTCTTACCTCTTCATTCCTGAACCTGGGCTCACACTCATTGACGGGGCACAATGATACTTACTGTCATGGTACCTGTCACACATACCTCCTTCTCCTCCAGCAGTTTCAGCACTTTAGAGGCCGGCCGGACGAATTCCATCACAATTTCTTTTAAATAGACTGCAAAGTCTATTAAAAGTGCAGCCAACGTGAAAAACTGTCCATTATATTCAGAATACTCAATGTCAGAGGCGGCCATTACCTTACAAGTCAGCTGCATGGACAAGGTGCCTTGTATGATCAATTTGGAACAATTCAAGTCACAATTGCTAGGAAGTCTCACACAGAGTCAGACTTGATACAAATTCATACAGCGCAGCCCTTGCCCTTGCCAAACAGTCATTTTTCTTCTCTTATTAGCTCGTGCTGTCGCAATCCCAGGCGTCTCTTGGATACCTTTACCTCTCTCCTTCGTCCTGCTGTGGCCACCCCCAAAACTAACTTTAGAGCTGATAGATTTGCATGCTACTTTACTGACAAGATTGAACAGCTAAGAAAAGAATTCTCACCAACTTGCCCCTCACTTTCTCAACCACACCTGGATTATGCCTCTCCAACCCTTCCGACCTTCTCCCAGGCTTCTGAACCAGAGGTGGCTGTGCTTATCCTTTTATCTTCTCCCCCCACTACTTGCCCGCTTGATCCTGTCCCGTCTCACCTTATCAGATCTCTCTCCTCTAGTCTTGTGCCCTCCTTAACATACATCTTCAACTACTCTCTTCTGGCACTGCCCCTGCTGTCCTTAAACATGCTACTGTAGTACCCATCTTAAAAACAAAAACAAAAAAACAAGGCACATCTTGACCCATCCTCCCCTTCTAACTATAGTCTTATTTCCCTGCTCCCTTTTTCCTCAAAGCTTCTTGAAAGACTAGTCTTAACCCGTCTGGCCTGCTTCAACTCCAACTCTCTCCTTGACCCTCTTCAGTACGGCTTCCCACTCTACTGAGACTGCCCTTATTAAAGTCACTAAAGTCTGCCCTTGGTCCCTTTCTATTTTCTCTTTATAATGCCTCTCTTGACAAACGTATTACCTCATTTGGATTCCAATACCATCTGTATGCTGATGACACCCAGATATATCTCTCCTCCCCAGACCTCTCCCCTTATTTCCTGCAACGTGTCACCTCTTGCCTTTCTTCTATCTTTGATTGGATGTCCTCACGCTTTCTGAAACTCAATCTTTCCAAAACAGAATATTAATCCTCCTCTCTCACTCTCCCTTCAGATTGGTTGTACCCATATCAGCCCATCCTTACAAGCGTGTTACTTTTGATTCTTGCCTCACCTTTGAGCCTCAAATCCGGTCTGTTGTCAAATCATGCCAATTCCACAAAAAAATAAAAATAAAAAAATAGATATCGCCTGCATACGCCCTTTTCTTACACAAGATGTTACTAAAGAGCTTGTCCATGCTCTAGTAACCACTCGCATGGACTATTGTAACGCTCTCCTAATTGGGCTTCACAATAGGCGTATTGCCCCGCTACAGTCTGTAATGAATTCTGCGGCCAGACTGATTTTCCTCTCTTATCAGTTCTCTCACACATCACCCCTCGGTCAGTCCTTCCATTGGCTTCCTGTATCCTATAGGAGTCAGTTCAAAGTGCTAACCCATACCTATAAAGCACTGAACAATTCTAGCCCCTCTTATATCTCCCTTCTCGGTCTCTCCGCTCTGCCTTCTCCTGTCCGCACCTTTATGGCCAACTCGCGCATGCAGAGCTTCTCGCGGGCGGCTCGCTTCCTATGGAATAGCCTGCCTACCATCAGACTCTCCCCTAATCTTCAATCAATTAAGAAGTGCCTTAAAACCCATTTCTTTAGGAAAGCTTATGGCCTCCCAGACTAACCTCTACCACACATACCTGTCTCTTGCTCTCCCCTAAAGGGCAGCACACTATTCTCTCCTCCAGCTCTGCTTCACTCCAACCTTATTTGATTGCTATTTCCTGACCTAATGTGTTTTATACCCCACCTCCTATCGACCATAAGCTCATTTGAGCAGGGTCCTCTTCAACCTATCATTCCTGTACGTTTTCTTGTAATTGTCCTACTTATAGTTAAACAAATATATTCCTTTCTAGGGATGCACCAAAATTTTCAGCTGAAAATGGACCTATCCCATAGGGGGGCAAATCTACCGAAAATTCCAGTGATGTGCAATTACCATCACCCAATGCCCGGGACATGCAGTTCCAGGCACTGGTCAGGTAGTTATTTTATCTTTTCGGCCCTGCTGCAGGCTAGTAGTAGAATGCCTTAGGGCAAAGTGTCTTGTTAACTCCTCGGTCCATAACCGAGATATCGACATCTGGAAGGGCCGGCAGCTTGCCCCTGTGTGCCGCCGAGTGTGATGCCCCTCCCGTCTGTCCGGGGAGAGAGCCAATACAGTCTTTAGCTCTGCCGGGTGGGGGCTACAGACTGTGCTGTATCTCGCGATCCCTGGCCAATCAGAACGTTGCCGTGGTAACTCTGACTTCTGGATTTCGCGAGATACATTACAGTCTGCAGCCCACACCCGGTGGAGCTGCAGACTGGAGAGAGACCACCGGACCACCAGTGAATGAAGAAGAGAAAAAATAAATAATAAATAAAAGGTATTTCTAACACCCTCACTCTATCATCATTCACCAGTCACTCTGCCACCAGTCACCCCCTCCCTCAGTCAGAGTCACCCCCTCAGTCATGAATGTAACACAGGAAATGCACTGAATCTTTAAACCTTACAACCAGGGTGCAACCAGATCCGGGTTCAGCACCAAATCCTAAATGTAATACTTCAAAAGAAAGGATAAGGGCTTTTCAAAGGTTCAATTTAAGGCAATATATTGGCACCAGAATGTGCAAAGCAACGTTTCGACCAGTGTGGTCTTTATCAAGCTGACAAATGTATGTGACAAACGCAATTATATAGCAAACATAATTACAACAATTAATCAATACTACATCATGTGACGGTAGCAACCCCGCCACTGGGCATTGGAGGAGCCTGGTTGCTCGCCTGCTCCCCCTGGACTATGGCCCCATGTTGAAACGCTTGATTTTCGCCTGCAAAGACACAAAAGCCGGGTCATTCGGTACTTTCCCTATTTGAACAGTATTACCCCATATAGCTATGCCATGGAGCCCATTCGTATATGGATGTTTTATGCAATAGATGCACAGTTATATATATTTTAATGTCTTTTGCTACCATGTGGCTAATGGAGTTTTGCCTCTGTCTTGGGGAGAATTGGATTACTTCCCAATTATCTCCAGGATAGAAGACTCTGTGGAACCGGTTTTGGGCAGAAAAGCCATGCTTCGTTTGGTCACAAAGGACTTTGATCTAACTTTTGACCCATTGGACCAATTTGTATGATTTTGACGTATGTTTGTATTTGGAGTATGCCGATTCTGTAAATGTAAGTTTTATGTGAATATGATGCATACTTTTAAAGTTATGAATATTGTGTAAAACTGTATTTTCCTGCCTGTGATAATTACATTAACCCATTGTGTAAGGTAATTGTATCACAGGCCGAGGGGAGGATTTTGTGTGGGAGTGTCTGAGTGTATTGTACGAGTTTATTGGTTGTTTTACAAAACTCTATGGGTGGTGCCAATGTGTAAGAATGTGTATATAAGAACAATAAACCCACAGCTCTGGCTGGTTCTGCCTGAACCTCAAAACGAAGTGTCGTCTTGTTATTGGGGAAATTGGATTGATGCTGTTTCAGACCGATTGCCAGGAGTGTAAACTGTTCGTATAGTTTTTCCTATTCAGCTGTTTACAGCATTCATATGTTTGAGAGCATTCGTATGCTTCTCCGGTTCGGTGGATTGGTGTATACAGTAGTTGCCTCTATATCTGGAAGGGAATATCTCCTAAACGGCTGTTAACCCCTTTTATGCCTGGGGGTGCCGTTACACATCAATCAATGGAATTAAATTAAATACACCCACCAAATCGCTGTATGGATACAAAACATGTAGGAGACTTCATAGCCAATTAAAAACATAGATACAATGAAATACATCTGAAAAGAAAGCAATTGCTTGCAACACATAATTAATTGAATCCAATCAAGCATATCTGAAAAGGAAGGGGAAAGGAAACACCTACCAAACACACTTAAGATGGAGCACGTATAAAAAAGGCCTCTAAAGTAATTAATGCTATAGCAATGCGCAGTGCATATGTAAACAAATAAAGTTTTTTTGGCACAAACTATTCTACTATTTAAATACAATCAAGCATATCTGAAAAAAAAAAAGTTTGCGCCAAAAGTAGCCACTTAGTCACACACACTGGCCAAAATTAGCATTCAAATTAGTTTTTTGCATTTTTCACACACACACAAATATTAACACTAACCTTGACAAGTGTTTGTGACCTACACACACACACACACCACATCTTTTTACTGCACCACACCACGTTCCCTACACACACTATATAACCTACACACATACACACTACATGCCTTTCCCATACCTCACTATATTCCATACACAAACTATATAACCTACACAAATCATATGGGGGGGATTTTCATTTCGGTGCATCCCTATTCCTTTCTCTTCTGAGCCAAGGGTTTCCCAAACATAATCTGTTACAGTATCATGCATAGATTTAATATATAGCTCCCCAAAGGGAGCTGTGACAAAAGGCCTCTTGTCACTGGTTTTTCATATGACAAACTACCCTGTTCCCCTGGCTTATAGAGAAGCCTGATTGCCAGCCTCCTTCCTCATGATTATGGCCCTGGGGTGTATGGCCCTTTAAAAACAGTATATGGACATGTTATGACTTTTTGTGACAATGTCCCTTTAAAACTGTGTCCCCAGTGTCCCCGGACTGTTAAACTACTTTGTACATGTCATTTTCCTATTTGGTTCGGTAAATGGGGCTTACCAAACCAAGTACTGCACAGGCGGACCACACAAGTGGAAGTGTGTGGCTAATTTAACTCTCAGGCTGGCTGTTAACCGCAGGTTAATTGCCGACCACTGGGTGGCCTCTGTTCGTGTAGTCATAACACGTGGAGGCGGCCATCTTTAGTCGAACGCGGTCAGCGGTGTGTTCCAAATCCATGGAACTAAAATCGGCTACCCATTTGCATGAACGCCGCTGACCCTTACCTTCTCCTCCACTTCGACTGAAAACACAGTCCCGTTCGACAATTCGAAAACACAGTATAATAAGCCATTTGCACGAACGGTGCCCCGTTCATGCATTCGAATGGGACTTTTTTTCTGAGTGAAATTGACCAACCGCCCAAATCTATGGAACGGTTTTGGGCAGGAAAGCCTGCTTTTTTTAGAGATTGTATGTATATTTTGTGATTTATGAATATTGTATTCCTGCCTGTGATAATTATGTTAACCCATTGTGTACAGTAATTATATCACAGGCAGAGGAGAGGATTTTGCTGGAATGAATTTAACTATATTAACTATATTGTACGTGTGATTGGCTGTGCCACAAAACCATGTGGGTGGTAACATTGTGTAAAAGGTTGCATATAAGTGCCAATAAACCCTCAGACTGCTGAGTTCCTGTTTTACCCTCAACATAGAGCCTCATCTCATGTGTGGGGGGAAAAGGCTGCATTTACACTGGGGATTGCTATGCTCTGCCTATTCCCTTGGCTATAATCACTAAGCTCTTTTAAGAGCTTGTTCCAGCTTCGCTCTCTGCAGGAAGAGAGGTTCGGTCTGCAGTGCCGATGGTGTCAAGTGGAGTGCTTGGAGTCCTCGGGAAGCACTAGGAGCATCCATCAACGGAGGTACTAGGAGCTCCGTTACAGGAGCCTTCTCTATCACACAATCCACAGACTGATAAATCTTTACTGCAAACTATGGTGTTGCCTATTTTCAGGGTCATAAAATAAACCAACTCCAAAATATATTGGGCAGATTATGCAACATTAATTATATATTTGTAGTGTTTTTCAGATTATTTCTTTCGAGGGTGGCAAACCTCAAGTAACTATATTTTTGATCGCACATTTGCCCAATATTTTAACAATTGTATTTGGAAGGCCCAAAAAATAAAATTAAAAGCAGAATAGCACTATTCTGGAACTGACTTGCTCCATCTTGGCTACCAGTCATTGAACATAGTATGTGGAGGTGGTGAAACAAACAGTGTTCTGTATCTCCTCCTTCATTGCAATGTGGGCCTGGCTGTGCCAGGACTGAACTGGACTGTGATATCAATTTACATTTGAAACAAAACAGAGCATAACATAGCATGAAAAATGGTTAACCCCTTAAGGACACAGCTTAAGAAGCTGGACAAGCAATTTTTGCATTATTTGCGGTTTGTGTTCAACTGCAATTTGCATCTCTCATTTATTGTACCAAAACCTATATATAGTATTTAATTTGATGTGACATATACATATATAAATTCTCATTTATTAAAAAAAAAAAAAAAAAAAAAAAATTTTTGGGGAGGGGAAAATAATTTTTCCAAGTTTTGGCAATAATGTGTGCATAGTATGCCCAGCTTAGGGAAAGTAATTCAAAATCAATTAATTTGTGTGTCTTGATTTACAAAGTACATAATATGTGTAGGATTTTAGTTTATTTTGAAAGTTACAGGTCACAAACTACAAGGTCTAAAATGAAATTTCAATGTTAAACTATTTTAGAAGTTGCTATGTTTGTCTTGGAAGTTTAATACCATCACAGAATAAAAATTGCCACACAAACGTATATATTTATATAAAAGTAGACATCACAGGCTATTTAGAAGAAAAATTATTAAATAAAATTTAATAAGATATCCAGGAGTAGTATATACTCCTCCTGGATATCTTATTAAATTTTATTTAATAATTTTTCTTCTATTTGCACCATTAGGGATTTTTAGTGGAGTCTCTTTATTTTCCAGTAGAGTGGTTTAGCCTTGCCATTATTTATTCTCTAACCAAAAGGTTTACTTTTAAGTAATCTCACCTAATAATCACAGGCTATTTACCTAAGGTTATTTTGACACTTTTTACGTGGCCATTTCACCGCCAATCTCTGCTAAATATTGGAGTAAAATTGTGTTTTTTCTCTATTTTGGCATATACACATAAGATATTGTGGCATTTTAAAAAAAAATTTTTTTACATACATGTTGCATTTTGCTGGGTTCGTACATACGATAAGTGCCACTGTCATAAATTCCCCCTAAGTATGCTCAGATACCTATTCGGAATAAAACAATAAGGCCAATGTATGACCTAGACACTATTTTGTGAAGTAACAGTGCTGTAAAAGAGACGTGACAAGTTCAGGTTTTTAAGTTTTAATTTTCATGGAAGGATTTAATAGGTTCATATTCTATTTTGAAATATGATAGCAGGCTGCTTTTTCCAACTACCCCAAAAAGGCATACTATTTCTTAAAGAAGACACCCAAGGGTTTTTTAAAAGGCAAATTTTGAACCTTAGCGTGGGATCTGTTTTCCGCTAGCTTGTATCAAGAGTAGTGGTAAAAAGCATTTTTTCTGCCTTTTTGGCACACACAGCAAGTTTTTACTGTATATTTTACAAACCTTATGTGTGCCATGGCTTTATAGTACTTTATATATTGCTCATCTATATTGTCTGAGTACAGCAATACCGCCGTATGTACCTTTGCCAAGTATATGTGGACGTTGAAGGGGCACATTTGAGACACAGCCATTTAAATTTTTTTCAAACTTAGAATTTTTACACTGGGTCCATACCCCAGTTTGGAGTTTTTTAGTAGGTTAATTATTCCAACTAACCCCATAAAGGCATACCATTTCTTAAAGAAGAAACCCAAGGGTATTTCAAAAGGCATATTTTGAACCTTAGCGTAAAATCATTTTTCCGCTAGCTTGTACCAAGTGTAGTGGTAATAAGCATTTTTTTATGTGTGCTATTGCAGCGTGCTAAGATACCCTGGAGTGTCTGCTTTCTCAAATGGAAGGCCTTTGTGTGATTATTTGAAGAGTCAAATGGCTATAATGCCACAAAATGAGACATATGACCAACTATGAAAATTCCAACTATAGAAACTAAAATAGCATGGTCTACTATATGGCATTGTAGCTTCACAGAATAGTGGCAAAAGTATACAATGGGGGTATCGTTGTACTCAGCAGACGTAGCTGAACACAATATGGGGTTTTGTACAGGGATATCACACACCAGCTTTACGAAATACACATTACAACAACCTTGTTATATGTGTATATGCCAAAATAGAGAAAAAACACAAGTTTACTCCAATATTAAGCAGAAAAAAAATAAAGTGTCAAAATAACCTTAGGTAAATAGCCTGTAATGCCTACATTATATAAATATATACTTTTGTGTGGCAATTGTGTTTTCTGTGATGGGTATTAAACTTCCAAGACAAACATACCAACTTCTACTGAAATCCTACACATATTATGTACTCTGTAAATCAAGACACATAAATAAATTGCTTTTCAATTACTTTTCCTAAGCTGGACATATTATGCACACGTTATTATTGCCAAAACTTGGAAAAAAATGCATTTTTTTTGTTGTCCCCCACCCACCCCCAATTATTTTGCAATAAATTAGAATTTATATATGTACATGTCAAATCAAATTAAAGCCCTTTTTGTCGTCTAAAAAAACAGTATATAATATGTGTTGGTACAATAAATGAAAGAGATGCAAGTTGCAGTTGAACACAAACCTTAAGGGTATGTTCAGCTTCTGAAGCCGTGTCCTTAAGGTTAAACTGATAGTCTAAGCATCAAAATTTGATTAAGTAATTCTGGAGCTTAACAGCGGTCATTGAAATCTTAAAAGCTAAAACCATATAGTTTCTGAGAACGGATTACATATACAAGTCTCTGTCATACAAACAATCAATATAGGGTCCAGACCAAAACAGATTTAAATATTGAATTTGACATCCAGCATTAGCATGGAAAGTATACGGATGTCAGAAGCTGTGCAAGCACAATGTTTCTCTATGAGAAGCACTGGACTGGCGATAGCAGGAAGTGGAACGCATGCACCATTTGGCCTCAATGATTCCCCAGGAAGCATGCGACTAGATCAAAAAGTCAGAGTTGATGACTTCACAGAAGGCAGCTTTGCTTTAGAAGAAGAGTCTGTCATGGCTCTAAATTACAGGAAAGTCTAAGTGGCTTTGTCAACTTGTCATTACATAGTGTGCAACCACTAGCAATGGAGACATCCCCGCTTATGATGAGGCTGCACTAGAAAAGAATAATACTTACCAGAAACTATCCCACTTGGTGCTTTGCCAAATTCATTCATCTCCTGACCTCATGGCACTTCATGGCATGGCAAGAGTACACCACAGATGACTTGTGATGAGTTAGACGACTAAGATGACAAAACATGACAGCAAAAGCTCTGCCCTTTGTCAAGTTTTCTCAACCTCAGGCATTACCATAAAACAAAATAATCTGTACTTGGTATAGGATATATGTTGTTTGCTTTAGAATTTGAATGACAGTCCAATGCATTTAATATAAACAGTAGATACATTTTTGGTGAGAGTTCCTTATGGTGGTGGATTTTTTATTTTTTATTTTTAAAGGAGGCATTAATCTAAAGTTATGAAGCAACAAAACTAATTATGTTCCTTTAAAACTCTTGCTTGTGAGTCTCAAAGAAAATGCAAATGCTTCCCACTGTTATTGAGCAATAAAGATATGTAATACATGTGAAATACAAACTTAAGCAGTTCAAATGTTGACTAGCCTAAGGAATATTCACCTGCCAGCAAACAGTATTATCCATAAAATACCAGCCTCCTATTATTGGCTTAAGATGCACCACACCCTGTGTTGTTCTAACACAGGAAATAGATCACAATTCACAATAAGGGAAATAAAAAAAAAAGCTTAAAAAAGAGAATGCTGCAAGAATTTATACACTTGGGCATAAAAATTCATTTTACATCATCAATGAGGATTTAAGCATGTAAAAAAATGGATAGAAATAAAATGCAGTTTCGTGTAACTTTTTTTTTACATTGCATTCAAAAATGAGGAGTAAATAAAAATACTGAAGCAAAGAAAAAAAAAAAACACAACAACAACAACAACAAGTCCTGCTTTGAGTCGAGTAAAAGGGACACTACAGGCAGCTAAGAAAGTCAAGCTTAAATGAAAGAAATTTAAAGCTCTATAGGTATTCATGAGTTTTCAGTCTCTTTATATATATTTATAATAAACATATGACACAATAGGATACCTAATATGGTGAGTAAATGTTTGTGTGTGTAATGTGTTATGCAAGTTATAGCCTAACTCAGGTGAAGTACTTCTTGACAGGCATTGTTGGCATGTGTTGAATGATGCAAAATTGCATCACAAAGCTCCAGCACACCCACATAGACTTTTCATTACGGATTCTCAGAGAATCACAGGAGCATGGCCATTAGTGGGCAGTCCAGCTGAAATACAAGAAGCAGGGAAAAAGCAAAGAGAAAATGACATGCAATCAGAGGAGGGGCAAAAAATCTGATCAAATAAAGATTACAACAGAGGTACCTTCTAAAGCACATTTGTATACACTATGAATGAAAAAACGGCATTTAGTGACAGTAGGTTTATTTTTTTGGGGAGTTATGCATTTTATCTATACAGTTTGTTTAATGATAGGACTAAAATCCTGTGGTTGGTCATTTTCTCTCTCTTTTATTTATTTTTAATACCATCAACTTGATAGATAATAGGCAAAACTTTGGCATATCATTTGTCATGGACAGTATTTCCCATGATGCTCAACTGCTTGCCAAGCATCTAATCATCAACTGAAGTGCCAAATGTTAACCATCAAGGTTTTATCATAAAGTTCACCAAAACAATTCAGCAAAAAGGAAAGCCGGGTCAAAATATACCTGTAAACATAGCATGGAAGTAAGGACTGCAGGCTGCCAGCACAACCTTATGAGCCAAAATCTCCACATCTTCAGCCACGATCGTCACATCACACAGCAGATTCTGACTGTGAATTAAAAATAAACAAATATGTTACGATACAGAGTAACTATTAGAAAAGCCTAAATGTCTACTTCCACTTTGAATGTCTTTGTGAAAATGGGTAAAAACACTATAAAGCTGAAATTAGCATTAGGCAAATAGCCTCATTTAGGTTGAAATGCATGCTCACCTCAGCAATTCTTTCTACTTAAAAGAACAAGGGGTAGAGAAGCTTTTTTGGAGAACTTTCCCAATTGTGTTAGTTTGCCTCTGGAGGCAAAGGATAAAGCCCAAAATAAAGGGGGGAGGACAACAACACAATTCGTATTAAACCATTTATAAATCCAAGAAGATTTAACAATGCATTCTCTTTCAATTAAAAAGGAGTGTCTGACAGTTAAACTAGCTTCTGCAAACAGCACAAAGATGAATACTTGAGTAGAATTATGTGACAGATGCACATTAAGGCATTAGGTGGACATTTTTCGAAGAGGTAAACATTACACATAGTGGTCAAAGCTCTTCTGATGAGATGTTTGTTTGGGATCAAGGCATTGGCACTCTTTCCAGGTGTTCATTTCGCCATAATTTCTACACTCTTAAAGTTTATACCTTACCTTTTTTTTTTAAATTAAATTACAACATTAAAAGCAACACTCCAAGCATTATAAAGATAGTGCTGTAGTGGTTATGGTGCCAGGAGTGCTCTGGCATTATCCCAGTATAAGTAGTCACACTGTTTAAGAACAGTTTGATTTCTTATCTGGTGTCCGCAAGGTGCCGCTCCACGCTTCCACTACTTTCTACGGAGAGCCAGAAATTCTAAAGTCTGCTGTGAGGTAAGTCCGGCAGTGCAGATTTTCTCCATAGGAAGACAGGATGTAGGAAGAGGGCAGGGGGAAAGGAGCATGCATTTAATTCTGGATTTTGTTTTCTATGTGGGTATATACAACAGCTTGTAAAAGCTGCAGATCTCTTGCCTGAATCCTTTGTAAGCCCTCCTCCTTCTTACCCAGTCCAGACGTTCTGTAGCTGTCAAGTCACAGACTTCCCAATGCAGCTGAATGAGAAGTATCTGATATTTGCTTAATATAGGACAATTCCAACAAGCATTTTAATTGTAATAAAAACAGAGGGAGAATTCAGCACTTATAGATTACTGGTATAGTTCAAAAGGCAGCTCAGTCAACAAATCCAGGGCCTCTCTTGTCCGGAAGAGATAAAGATGAAACAGAAGGAGGGTGTAGCGCCAAATATGTCCTTCGAAATATGTGGAATAAAAGGACTACTCTCAGACCTGTGGACCACATATTATCCCTAGGAGGGATCATTTCGCTTAAGCGCCAAAGTCGGAGCTGCACCTAAGCTCCCAAAAAGTGTGAGTGAATTATTTTTATCATCTTTTTCCAAATGTATTTTACATACTACACTATTAATTCTTTATTATTCTACATATTCCTAAGGACATATTTGGCTCTACCCCACCCTTCTGTTTCTTCATTTTAAATGTAACAAATTATGCTTTTAAAAAAGAACATTCCAAGCAACATAACCATTATAGTCTGCAGTAGTGATTGTGCCAGGTGCCCTCCCAGATTTATTTATTAATGGCATTTATAAAGCGCCAACATATTCCGCAGCGCTGTACAATTGAGGAAAAAAAAAACCACAACAAAAAAAAAAACAATACAATATAAACATGCAAAGAAAAAAGAACCAGATTAAATAGTCAAACTGCTTAAAAACAATTTGATAAACGGTTAGTTCCATTAAGCTAAGCCCATCCACGCAGTCTGCATGTTAAAGCTTTTCAATATGAAACTCTGCACATCAAGAGTTCCAGACTAGCCAATATCAATTCTGTGCATATTCTTGGCACTGGGAGTCATTCTGGGAGTGCTCAGCTAATGAATGACCAGGGATATCCATATATGGCTTCTGCAGCTCTGCATTACATAGCATCAGATAAGTCTTGGTGCCTAGCGGTGATCCAGATAAGAGGGCAAATTTAAACAAAGATATTTAAGCCAATTTAAGTTGTTCTCCAAATATGAATGATTAACCTATTAAAGTGGAGATAGTGATGAAATTATTGCAAGGTGCACAATCTATGATGGTATATAACAAAATAAGTGGATTTAAAGGGACACTCCAGGTACCAAAACAACAATCTAAATAAAGTTATGGTGTCAGGATGCCCACACCCAAGGTGCACTCTTACCTCAAGGGGTTAAACAATTTTCAAACTGTTCAACCCCAAAGCTACCTCGAGTGGCAATCTCGGCTGCCCCCCAGGCTACATTCGGCTTCTGGCATTCTATGCCACAGATTGGCTGAGAGCTGAAGAATTCACAGACGCGCTCAGCTAATCAGTGATTCACAAAACTGGCTTGGAAAGAAACGTACATATTTTCTAAGCCACTTTTATAACTCAACAAAATGGCAGACATACAAATTTACTAGAGTTGATCACTTAAAAAAGAATTACTACGGTAAATTAGAGAGAACACATACACACAACACAATCACTGAGTGCTGCCCCAAGATGCACTTGCACTGTAGGTTCCCAAAGAAATTAAAATGCAAGAAAACAATTACCTTCGTAATTCATTCATAACTTTGAATGCTTTCCTAGTGTGCCGAGGATTCACCGTGACCGGGCAATACTTCTCAGTATTGTCTTTTACATCCACAGGTTTGGCAAGACTTGGCTTAGTGCTTCTAAGAAAGGGAATAAAATAAATAAATAAATTAAAAACATAGAATATCAGTTTGGCTCTTGAAACGTATAGGAGCAAGTACAGAACAATTTTAATAAAGCACTGTTTGATGAACTAAATCTTACTGTGATATGCCCCGCCCCATTAAAAAAACAAAAATAAATAAGTTAGAATGGGGATGGGAACAGGGAGGTCTGAGAGGACCGGCTTAGGGGGTTGACTTGTGCAACAGTGAGTGATCTCTAAACAGCAAACACACATGACATGACACATGTGGGCCTATTCCGAGTGTGTTTGCTGTTTAGAGACCAGGGAGAGGACTCTGTCTGAAGCCTACATGGCCCCTAAACACCCAGGGAACCGGGAATAAATCACTGGGACCGAGGGGAAGCAAAATAGATAACAAAAGTGCCTGCAAAGAAGTTTAAAAGGCAACCACGTGCAAAAAGTCAAAGTTTAAAGGCACCACAGTCTAAGGGCCTCAAGGTATAAAAGGACTACCTACTATTGATTACCTGTTATAATAAGAAGAGTCTCCACCTTATATTGTATGTAAATCGACCGATAGTGAGCTTATAGACAGGATACAGATAATCTGTTAACCTTCAGGTTGATAGCCGATACATTTACATTACATAGATGTATATTTAACATTTTGGAAAAAGAAACAATTTGTACACAAATCGGTTAACGGAAAATGTTTATTTCATTTTTTTTTTATTAAGTGGTATATGCACAAAATATACATGTCAGTCAGAATTTTTTTAATGTTTTCAATAATATTTAATGTTCCTCTCCCCTCCCTTCCCTGTCCCTGTGTGTTCCTCTGCCTCCCTCTCATTTTGTTCCCCCCACTACTTTAGTGGTCCTATCTCCTCCCTGGTGTGTCTCATTACCCCTCTTGGAGCACGGCCGAGCGTAGAGAACCGCGGTACAGGAGCTTCAGTTTCTTGTACCCGGCTGGACTGACAGGAAGTGCTCTCTAAGTGAAACTGAAGCTCCTGTACTGCAGTCCCCTCTGCTCCGCTCAACCACGCTACACTGAGTGACTAGTAGGGAGGAGCACTGTGCGTTTCCTTCCTGCCGATTACTCTATTCCTGCGCCCTTAGACGACCGTCTATGCCGCCCCATGGACGCGCCAGCCCTGCGTGCCCTGGGCCACCGCCGCCTCTCCCATTATCGGCAATGTATATCAATATCAATAGTGGTCGATACAGATATTTGCCAAAATACTGAATATCGGTCGATAATACTGGCCGAAACGATAATCGGTCGATCCCTACAACAAAGTGCTTTAACTATTTAAGAGCAATATTTCAAACAATTGCTGAACATACAAACTACAAGCACCATAATCCCTTCAAATCATATAGGTGCCTATTCATTAAGCAGTGAATTTACAAATTATTTGAACATTTTAAGCCAAAATAATGGTTAAAGGGGAAAAAAAAAAGTGCGTGTATGTGGGTGGCGAGGGGGGCTAGATCTAAAGCAAGCATGCTTATTTCCAAAATGTACCACTTTGTGCACCATTACAATTTAATTGCAATTATGTTGATATGGTGCGAGGAGCTCCTGGGAGCCATTCTCCGCTAATCCTTAAGACTCACATAGTAAGTGAAGGGACAGAAATTGAGAAATTGGATGCTGGATTAAAAGGTTCACTAAATATTTAGCCCCTAATACATGGGCTACATTCAGCTGCAAATGCCAACTAAGCAGCACATTATAGTGTATTATGAGGATTTAACTAAATTCAGTGGTTAAATATTTTCTCAACGGTTTCACGCACTACTCTATTTTTATTAATAAAAACACAGTAACCGTGTATCATGATCACGTTGTACACACTCACAACTCTAACAACACATTGTCTTGTTAACACTATGCACAGCTCTATAAAAAGAGGTGAAGATGTGACAGCATTAGTACAAGAATAACTACATCCTACAAATAAAACCCCAGGGAATGTATTATTTTAAGTCAACATGTTAAACAGAGTGAAAACGAATGATCAAATCTAAACATTAAAAAGGAGGGCTTCCTTGGAGGAAAGACGAGACAGGGGGGATATGATAGAAACATTTAAATACATAAAGGGAATCAACACAGTAAAGGAGGAGACTATATTTAAAAGAAGAAAAACTACAACAACAAAAGGACAGTCTTAAATTAGAAGGACAAAGGTTTAAAAATAATATCAGGAAGTATTACTTTACTGAGAGGGTTGTGGATGCATGGAATAGCCTTCCACCTGAAGTAGTAGAGGTTAACACAGTAAAGGAGTTTAAGCATGCATGGGATAGGCATAAGGCTATCCTAACTATAAGATAAGGCCAAGGACTTGGTTCTTATCTGCCGTCACATTCTAGGTTTCACACTTTCCATGCCTGGCGTCTACTACAGCCCCTAACCGGCTTTTGGCAATGGTGGTCTGTACTTTCACTACACAAATTCTCCCACCACAGGGCCAAAAGAATATGAAAACTGCTTGTCCAGTGATTTAAATTCCACATCCCTGAATAATCTATATTTGGTATTAGTGAGTCAAGGGTGGAAAGTACAATATTTTAGCCAAGAGTTCCATATCTTGTGAAAATTTAGGATAATATGGTTGAGAACACAACTCCCTGCAATTGTCATGATCTATCAATTTGAAAGAGTAATAAATCCAATGCTTCTTTATGAGAGGCACTAGCAATGTTCTCCATCAGTAAGCAGTGTATGACGGATGCCGAATGCAAAATCTTTCAAAAGTAGAAGGGTGCAAGGTCTTACGAAGGTGCTCTGCTGGCTGGTTGTCTCTAGAGGCATAATTTAATCCACATGTAAACATTACATTTCTCAGAAATGGCAATGCTTCACATTATCAGAGTAAATATATGGTTTTTGTGTATAGATATTTTTTTCCCCCACACAAGACGAATTAGGAACAGCAGCATCACAATCTTATCCTTACATACACTACGCCAACATATAAAAACACAGTTTATTTAGTGCCAGCCCTATTGAACTAAACAAATGTTGTAAAGTAAAAAATGCAGTTTGGAAAAGAAAAAAAGAAAATTAAAGTTATATATATATATATATATATATATATATATATACTGTTAAACACACATAGTGGACAAAGTCTTTGTATTTGTAGGTGTATATAATTGTGTATAATATATACACACACACATTATAATTATATACACACAAATACAAAGACTTTGCCCACTATGTGTGTATAACACGACAAAAATTACATAGACTACATTATGTCTTCTCAAAACATGGAATACAATACACCAAACTGGAACCATATAGGTGCACAATCAGACCTCGTGGTTTATCATTTGTACAGAAATAATAATCCCTCAGATTAAATTACCAATAGAGGAACTTGTTGGCCAAGTTAATACTTATAGCAAGCTGTAGTTAAATGGATTATGGTCACTAAGCTCGAAAATATATTTTGTTCCAATAATATATGAAACCAGAAGGCTGCACTCACCTTAACATGCATAAATGAGGTGCCATTATTTTTGCCTAGATTAGCCGTTTAAAAAAAATAAAATAAAATCTGTGATCCGCTGTTTAGTGGATGAGTTAGTGCGCTGGATATTGTGCATTGTTCTTACAATATACACCTACCAACGGGTAGAAATAGTTACATACCTTCCTTTCCGTCGCATGTTACTCAGAGACATTTTTAGGAAATCACTCCGTACCAAAAAAAAAAAAATTTAGATGCCACAGTGAAATGAGACACAGATCTCCCTGCTTTAAAAAAAAATAATAAAAAAAATAAAAAACACAGCTTCATCCAGAATAGGATCCCAATTGTTTAAAACTGTAGAGCAAAATTTATCCAAGATGCTACTTCCTGTTTAAACTAAGACTATGCTTGCAGTCTCATAGCTCTTTTCTAACAAAACAATCCATGAAATGGTAGAAGCATGTACACCGAATAACAACCACCAGCCCATGCACTATATGGTGATTGGCTGCAATCTGATGAATTGGGTGCATTTGCCTCAGGCTCTACAAAGTAATGGGTCTCTGGAATGCACCTTATACACACACTACTGAACTAGAACGAAGAATAAACTAACCATGTACTTTGCAATGTTCATGTTACCTGGGAGAGATAAATATTCTCAATGATCCATGAACAGTTAACCAACCATCGTTAAGGGATGAATTTACAAAACAAGTATGTGTGGTTGAAAAAAAAAACATAAAAAAATTATAGGGTGTTTTACACGCTACATTACTCAGGATTAGCCCTACAAGTGGACTGCGGTAGCAGTAGGTGGACGAGGCAATTAATTAAAAAAAAAAAAATTATATGACTTACTAGATTAAAGATTCTTTTCACATTTTGTTTAATTTATGTTTATTTTTTACATATTGTTCAGCAATTCATTCAACCAAACCCTCTAAGCACCACAAGCAATACTACAGCTCGTAGTAGTGGTGATGATGCTAGGAGTATACTTGCCAGGACACTTGGTAATGGGAAAAAACATTTTTGTATGTAAAAAACATTTTACATTGGTTTGTCAATTAACCATGCACTTCTGGCTTCGGAAGAGTTGCAGAAACAGTGATGCCAATCCAGTTGCTATTCAATGGCTGAGAGTGACAGCTGACTGCTCACAGCCAATGAATTGCACACTACAAAAGAAAAATGTGAAATAATAATACACAGACTCTTGTTATAGGCTGGCTAATGACGCCAACATGCAGCTGCTGGAGGTGGAGTTACACCTCCGGCAGCTAAACATCATGGTCTGCTACATGCTTTAAATGTTACTATCTATAATACATACAGCTGGCCAGGGAGGGGGGCTCTCATTCCCTGGTGGTCCAGTGGCATTGGCTGTGTAGGAGGGGGGCTGGCAGAGAGCTGTAACTTACCTTTCCTGCAGCTCCTGACAGCTCCCTTCTCCTCCGGTCCGGTCAGCTCCCCTGTCAGCTACACTGTAAGTCTCGCGGTGTGAGTGCCGCGCGGAGCGTTGCCACGGGTCTGACCCCGCGGCTCTCGCGAGACTTACACTGGAGCTGACCGGCATGGAGGAGAAGGGAGTGGACAGGAGCTGCAGGAAAGGTAAGTTACAGCTCGCTGCCAGCCCCCAACAGGACCGCCGGGCTTGTAATGAGCCCGGCGGTCCTGGACTGTATTATGGCAATGTAAGTTTCCATAATACAGACATTGACTCTAGTATAAGCCGAGTTGGGGTTTTTCCAGCACAAAAAATGTACTCGAGTATATACAGTACTTACTCATCTGAGCAATGATCTATCTTCTCCTTTTTTCCTTTTCTCGTCTCCCTCAGCATCAAAATATCTCCTTACACCCACTTCCTTCAACAACACAATCACATTTACATTAATTCATCCCTGCTACACTCCCCCCCCCCCTTCTCTCATCCCATGCCCTGCACTTGTTTCTCTCCTGCTCCCACCCAATCTCATCCTAGACCCTGCCCATATAAAACCCATTCACACCTCCTGTCACTATCTCTCCTCCTACTTCTAGCAGCTGGTGACATCTCTCCCAACCCAGGAAGCTTCACCTTGTCTGCTCACACAAAAACACACAAGCCTCATCCGAATACCCTGCAATTTATTCTCCTCTACCAACAGTCACTGTGCACTCTGGAACGCCCGTTCCATCTGTAGCAATATTAAATCAACAGCCATACATGAGCTCTTCATCTCTAATTCCCTCACACTACTAGCACTCACTGAGACCTAGCTTTACCTCTCTGATACCGCTATTCCAGCTTCTTTATGTTTCGGTGGACTACAATTCTCCCACACTCTCAGACTCAACTGTAAAGGCGGCCGTGTAGGTATCCTTCTCTCCCCTCAATGCAACTTTCAACCTATCCTCCCGGCCTCTGTCCTATCCTTCACGCATCCTAGGCTATTCATTGAACACTTTTTTCCTGGCTACCCCACTTTCTCTCCTCCAGCACTCCTTCCCTCATACTTGGGGACTTTAACATCCCAATCAACAACCTCAACTGCCTCCCGTCTGCTTTCTGTAACCGCCTCCTTCGGCCTCACAGGGTGGTCTACTTCAGAAACTCATACAGCAGGAAACACTCTTGACCTCATCTTCACTAATGTCTGTACCACCTCTAATCTCTCCATTGTTCCATTTCCTTTATCTGACCACCATCTGCTGACTTTTGACATCAGCATATCCTATACCCAAATCTCACCACCCTCAACTCTCCAATCTCGCAGAAACCTCCACAGCCTTGATCTCCAGCATTTCTCCACCAAACTCCAAACTCCTTTTACCCATCTCAAAGCTCACTTGCCCTAATTCTGCAACTTCACTCTACAACTCTACTCTCTCCTCTAAACTAGATTTCATGGCACTTCCTACATTTAAACGCAGCAAGCGTTCCCAATTACAACCCTGGCAAACCAAGCTAACCTGATATTTCCAAAAATGTTCTAGAACTGCTGAACGCTGTTGGAGAAAGTCTTACTCTGCACCTGACTTCATCCACTATAAATTTATGCTGCGCTCCTACACTCTGGCTCTATCCTCTGCAAAAGTAAATTACTTAAACACCCTCATAAGCAGACTGTCCCGCCAACCCAATGCGTATTTCACACTTTTAATGCTCTCCTTTGCCCTGTTGCTCCCCCTCCTCCTACCACCCTGTCAACCTTAAACTTTGCAACTCACTTCACTGAGAACATTTATACAATCAGGGAAGAGATCTCTAATCTCTCTCCCTCCCCTTCCAATACATCACCCAACACGACTCCAACACTGTTCTATGCTCATTCGCACCTACAACAAAAGAGGTTTCCGCTCTGCTCCCGTCCTCCCGCCCCACCACCTGTTCCCTCAATCCTATTCTCTCGTTTCACCTGCACTCAGTGTCCCTCTCTTGCTCTTCTCTCACTGAAGTTTTCAATCTCTCCCTTTCCTCCGGCACATTTCATTCATCCTTCAAGCATGCAATCAGAACGCCAATTCTGAAAAGGTCCAACCTCTACCCCAGCTCTCTGCCCTATATCGCTACTGCAGTTTGCCTCCAAGATCCTTAAGAGAGTTGTGTATGCGAGATTGACAGACTTCCTCGAATCCAACTCTCTACTTGACCCGCTTCAGTCTGGATTCCACGCTTGTCATTCTGTTGAAACAGCTGTGACCAAAGTATCCAGCGATTTAATCATTGCTAAATCTCACAGCCATTACGCTATCCTAATTCTCCTTGATCTTTCTGCTGCCTTTGACACAGTTGATCATCAACAGCTTCTTCTCATTCTCCATAATCTCTGTCTACAAGATACTGCTCTCTCCTGGTGCTCCACCTACCTCTTCCAGCACTCTTTCAGTGTTTCATTCTCTGGCTCTGCCTCTTCTCCCCAACCCATCTCTGTTGGTGTCCCCCAGGTTCATTAGCAGTAGGTACCCTACTGTTTTCCCATCTATAATGCCTTCCTTGGTAAACTCATCAGCACCTTTGGCTTCCATTATCATTTATATGCAGATGACACTCAAATCTACCTATGCTCTCCTGATCTCTCTCCACCCATCTTGACTCATGTCTGACTGCCTCTCCGCGATTTCCAATTGGACGCTGCTCACTACCTTAACCCCTTAAGGACGCAGCTTTTGGAATAAAAGGGAATCATGACGGAATATTTCCGTCATGTGTCCTTAAGGGGTTAAACTCAACCTGTCCAAAACAGAACTTCTAGTTTTTTCTCACTCAAGTGCTGCTACTCCCGTGTCTGTCTCCCTCCAAGTCAACACCGCCACCATCACCTCTACCTCGCTGCCAAGGTGTTCTCTTAGACGCTTCACCCCTCATGTCCAGTCGATCACCAAACCCTGTCCCTTCCATCTCAAATACATAACCCGCATCTGCCCCTATAACACCAGACGCGGCTAAGGTGCTGGTCCATGCTGTTGTTCATTTTCGTCTTGACTACTGCAATCCCCTTCTCAGTGGTCTTACGTGTTCCCAGATTGCACCGCTATAATCTATTATGAACGCGGCGGCAAGGCTTATTTTACTGTCCGCCCGCACCTGCCACGCCTCCCCCCCTCTGTCAGTCCCTACATTGGCTTCCAGTTAGACATAAGGCTCAATTTTAGATTCTGGTGCTTGTTTACAAGTCCCTTCATAATGCTGCTCCAACCTACCCATCCTTCCTCATACACAAGTATGTCCCATCGAGGCCCCTGCACTCTGCCGAAGACTTACATCTATCCTCTGCCCATACTCCCACATCTGATGCACGTCTCCAAGACTTCTCCAGGGCTGCGCCTTTTCTGTGGAACTCCCTTCTCCGTTAGACTTTCCCCCAGTCTCCACTGGTAAACTGTTAGCGGATTTTCATTCCCTGCCCCCCCATGACTTCCCTTCTGCAACGGTCAAAAATAACCAACTCAGTTCTCATTGTATACTTTTTCTAGCAACCTATTTCATTACCCCTACTTATACCCTTTGTGTCACTATACCCCACTTCCCCTAGCATGTAAGCTCATTGAGGAAGGCCCTCAACCAGCTGTTCCTGTGCATCCATTTGTCTGGTTGCAATTACATGTCTGTTAGTCCACCCATTGTACAGCGATACGGAATTTGCTGGCGCTATATTAATAATAATAATAATAATAATGACAGCTGAATAGAGCCTGTCTTTGCTAAACAAATAGTCGGACAGAAAACAGAGACTACAGTGTTCATGGTGCATG